CAGCAACAGCCTCAGAGCAATGATATGCCTTTGCCAGATCCTCCCAGAGAGGAAATCTACATTCCCTTCAACGAGTTTGTGGAATCTGCAGAAGAGTTTGGAGATCAGGTGATTGCTGGATTGAACAAGATGCTTGTACTCAATCAGAAGCACGATGCACATCTTGATCTTGTTCAATATAACCTCGAGTCAGACATTGCCAAGCTTTCAACCAGACTCTCCACTCTGACAACCTCTATTCAAGCATTCATGAAGTCTACTACTGACAAGGTGGATAATCTCTCTAACGAAGTTGCAAGTATCCACACTGTTCTATTCGTACAATCTCAGACTCTCACAGCACAGGACAAGGAAATTAAAGACATATCTGATGCTGTGGATGATCTTCAATGGGCTCATGACAAGAATGCAGAACATCTGACTGATGTAGAGGACCTCTGCAAGACCAATAAAGAGTTTGCTCTGAAACTGATCAATAGTGGAAAGGACAGAGATCACAAGCTGACTCTCCTTGAAGCTACTACTAAGGATATCCAATCTGCTGTGGATAAGCAAAAGGAGCTGGTAGAAGGGCTGGCCTCTGTCACTCAGACTCTCCCTGGAGCTCTTGAGGCGATCAAAGAAAATCAAGCATCAGAATTCTCGAAGATTGGACTCCTACTTGGTGATCTTGTTGATGCCAAAAAGGGGGAAGATATCAGAGAACCAGCTAGGACTACCAGAGCTGCAGAAGGGGCAAGCAGCAGAGCTCTGACAATTGCTGATCCTGCAGAATATTTTGAGAGAGCTAGACAAAAGAGACTTGCTGCTGGAATTCAGAGATCTCCTCCTCCTCGTTCCAAGAAAGGGAAGAAGAAAACTCCCTCCTTCACTCTAAATCAATGGCTGAACAGTGGGATGTCCAAGCCTGACACAGTACAATTTGCTGAAATGAAGAAGCACTTGACTCCCCTGCAGCGAGAGAATCTTATCCAAGATGAGAATGGCATCATAACCATTGCTCATGGAGGATCTATCCAAGAAGCTGAAGAGTGGTGGAGACTGAGAGTGATTCCTGGCAAGGATGAACGTGATGCAGTAAGATATTATCTAGACTGTCAACTTGAGCCTCTCTGGTCAGAACATCAGAATCCCAGGAACCTTGCTGCAATCAGAGCAAAGGTAAATGCAGACCTAAAGAAAATTGATGAAGCAGGAGTACAGATAGATGAGGAAGAACTCTGAAACCTTATCTATTTTGCGTATTCTTGTAATATCTGACACATATATGAAATAACCATCTTGCCTCTAATTTTGGATGGCACTTTCAAATACTGTGTTCTTTATTGCTTTATGTATTCAGTTCTTTTATGCTTTGATTGATTGAATCGTACTCTTGCTATTTTCCTATGCTAAGTGCCCACCAAGTTTTGTAATGAAAGTCTTTAACTTTAAACGTCTTTTATGGTGAAAGGCACTTCTCTGGAAATAGTTTAAGGGTTTTGGCATCATCAAAATGGGGGAAATTGTAAGGAATAAATGTAATTAGATTTTGATGATGCTAGGATATTTAGATTAGAATTTTAGAGTACCCCCAGTTAGATTTTATGTATTAGAAATTTTCAGTTGTAAGTATTAGTGTAGTCGACAATCGGAGTTGCTCTATGTGGATCTTATCAGAACTGCTAGGAGAACTGCTCCATGAGAGTTGCTCCTCAGAGAAGAATCAGAGCTGAGAATTGCCTTCAGAGTTGCTCTTGGCAATTTATGAGAGATGCTAGCTGAACTTCAAGTCTGATGATCCATGAGAGCTGCCCATCAGAGAAGCATCAGAGTTGCTCATCAGAGAACCATCAGAGTTCGATGTAAAGCTTCATCAGAATTCAACTTCAGAGAAGTATCAGAGTTCCCTATCTAAGTTCATCAGAATCCAAGGTCAGAATGCCATCAGAGAATCTCATCAGACCTAGATGGACACTTAGAAGATTTCGAAGCTGCTTTCAACGGCCGTATAACAAACGGAAAATCCTCTAACGGCTAGGAGATATTTCATCAAAGGAAAGCATTTAATGCACATTTAATGAGTCTGATACGCTGTGGAGTAATTGCAGATGATTGACTGAGATTCCTGGAAAGTATTATACGAAAATAGAAACCTGCCAAAACTGCGGGTCCAACCGGTCAACTCCACAGTATGCGCATTCAATGCAGTTGTCTCCTCCTCCAACGGGTAGACAACTCCCAGTATAAAAAGATACTCATGAAGAACAACCGGATAACTTTTGCTCTCTACAACCATTCTACAAGCTCTCTTGAGATTCAATCTTCAAATCCTTCTACAAGAAAAAGCTTACGTTGGGAAGATTAAATATTCAAATCTCTCAAACCCAACCAAGAGCAAAGTTCATCCAGTTCTTCAACACTTCAAGATCTTCAACAACAAACCTTTTGTAACGAAGCAAGTTGGAGAAAAACTCTATTTTTCAGAACATCTTCTGCAAAGAAGGGCGTCCAAGTAACTGCAGTAGTGAAGTGGTGATACTTCTAGGAAGCTGAGTGAAAGGACCAGTCATCAGGAAGCAGGACTGCATCCCGGGTGACATCTAGACGTGAAGAAGACGTGGAGAACTTCTTAAGTGCTAGGGCTAAAGCTTTGTAACTGTTTACCTCAAAGCTTAGTGGAACAGTGGACTAGAGGAACGCGTTGTTCCTTGAACCACTATAAAAACACTGGTGTCATTTACTTTACGCATTTACTTTCTGCACTTTAGGATCTAACTGCATAACTCCTTAAGAACTTGGAATCTATGTTCAGCAGATCTTGTTCTCAGAGTTATCAGAAGGGCACTTGCCTTAGTATCTGCTTGAGGCTACCCGGAACCCTTATCCGCTGCAAAACCCAGTTCTGATCATCAGAACTCGATCCTCTCTGATAAGTCAACTCTGACTTAGAGAAAAGTTTGAAAACTCTTAACAGTCTATTCACCCCCCCCCCCTCTAGACTGTTACCAACTTAAACGGGACCAACAGATTCAAAGAGAGGTATCACATTGGGAGTAAACATAGGGTGCAAGTCTTAGTAATAAAGTGGAAGGGAAGCCTTGGTAGGACCAATACCTCCAACATTCTCCACCTTATTGGTCCTAGGTGGTGTAGAGTAACAATACAAGGTTGTGAGGAGACTCATCATCGCTGAACCATTACAAGTATATCATTGCGATCATACAAGTAATAGATGAGAACCAAAATTCCCTTTCGGACCAAGCTTAGCATGCAAACCCAATTCACGATGGACTGAACCCTACCAATCGGTCCTCGAGTTCAGAACCAAAACCATCACAAAACTATTAACAAGCACAACACATGTTAATAGACCACGCAAGCAAGCATTCGGGAGAAGTTGGGGATTCCAACTAATCCAACAACCACACAAAGCAAGTATAAAGAAAATAAAAGAAACAATATTATTTCTATAACTAGCACAGGCGGAGCTCACATAATCACATGGTATCATATTTTCAAAACACAAAGAAAATAGCATACCAAATATCACAAAGATTTTAATTAATAGAGAATTAAGCACATTTAAAGCAGACTCAGAGGAAATATAGTCAAACACATTGCACATATTATTTCTCTCATGCTCCCTAATGCCTCTATCTCTAATAACATAGCAATCACACAACTCAAGCATATTGCACATAACATTCATATCATGCTCCACCTTAATAGAAATATTATTTTCTTTATTTTCACCATGAAAAACATTTTCATCCACAAATTTGGGTTTGGTTTCAACAAGTAAATCAGAATGAGATTAAACAAGCAAATGCTCCACCTCATTTGGAGCAACATCAGGAGAAACAAGCAGGCAAGGAAATTCATTTTCAACAAAAATGACATTTCTACTCATCAACACATTGAAGCAAGTTTCACTCCTACACCAAAGGCTATAACCTTTCATGCAATCATGATATCCTAAGAAAACATATTCCTTAGTCCTAGGTTTAGATTTATCATTCACACGATTCACATAAGCAGCACAACCAAACACTCTCACGGGACTCCGGCCTTCCTCCTGCGACGGAATTCCAGATCCGACCTAGAGCTCAGCGATGAACTCACTTCCGGACGGCGATTCAGCAGCACCAACCGGCGATTGACAGTTCCAGCTACCTCCGGCGAACCAGCTCCAGCTCTAGCGCAGATGGATCTCCAGGCGACGATTCCCAGGCAGAAGCTCCAGACGACGAACGAGGCAGGGCAGAACACCGGCGATGGTTCTCAGGCAGATGGCGGCTCCAGCGGCGAACAAATCGGCGAGCAACGATCTTTCCAGACCTCGAATTGACGGCGGACGGCGGGCGGACGGCGGCGGAGTAGAGCGGCAGACGGCAACCAGGCTCTGATACCACTGTTGAGGATCGATTCGTCTTCCGGCTCAGGTCTCCAACCCCTAATTAGACTCTCACACACCACACTAGTCTAGACTCACTCCACCACTCATCATGTTTATCCATCTCTTCGACACTCCACAAAGGAATCTCTCTCACACATAGGAAAAAAGAGAAGGAACGGACTTTTGAAGCTCTCTCACAGACAAGTCTCACAGGATGAAGCCTCGGCTTCTAAATAAAAGGTGACCAACAACAATACACTCACGGGTGACAAAAACAAAAGAATACAAGGAAGGCAGCAGCGGACAGCAAAGAGGGGGCACACTCCAGGAAGTCAACAACCATATTATTGGTTAAGAGAGATTCAAACAGAGGTATCACATTGGGAGTAAACATAGGGTGCAAGTCTTAGTAATAAAGTGGAAGGGAAGCCTTGGTAGGACCAATACCTCCAACAATATGTACGAAGTATAATTGTAAAGAACTAGCTCATATATACTTTGTAGAATAAATTATTGTATTCACTATGTTATTGAGGATGTATTTTACAGTATATATAGTACAGCCGTTCCAAGAATACAAGGTAAGTAACCAATACAAATAATTACATAATCAATATACAAGGAAAGAAAATATATTCTATTTAATGCTTTGCTTTACACTTTTACCCCCCGTCAAGCGATGCGTGGGATGTAGGCAGACGCAGAGCTTGGAACGCAGAAGTTCAAAGGCGGGGCGAGGAAGACTTTTGGTGAAGATATCAGCAAGCTGAAGATGAGAGGGCACAAATTGTGTTTGCAGACGGCCCGAAGAGACCAACTCACGCACAAAATGATAGTCAATGTCTATATGCTTCGCTCTTTTATGTGCAATAGGATTTTGACTAAGAAAAGCAACACTCTTATTGTCACACAAAAGAAGTGGGACTGAATCGGAAGAAGCTTGAAGTTCACGAAGCAAGTTGACTACCCAAATGACCTCAGAAGCAGCATTGGTGAGAGCACGATACTCAGATTCACAACTAGAACGAGAAACTGAAGGTTGCTTCTTTGCACTCCAAGAGACCAGATTTCCGCCAAGAAAAATGGAATATCCATACGTAGAGCGACGAGTCTCAACACATCGTGCCCAATCTGCATCTGAGTAGGCTAGAATAGATTGGTCAGGGCGACGATCAAAGGAGAGCCCATAGTGAACAGTTCCTTTCACGTAGCGAAGAATTCTTTTGACAGCATGAAAATGAGCTTCCGTCGGTGATTGAAGGAACTGGCTGACAAGATTAACAGCAAATGATAAGTCAGGACGAGTAATAGTCAAGTACTGCAGAGCACCAATAATAGAGCGATAAAGAGTCGGATCATAATATGATGGTCCACTGCTAACCAAGCTATCACCCGCCGCCAATGGGGTGGAGACGGGTTTGGAGTCTATCATATCAAAGCGCTCCAGGATATCACAAGCATATTTAGACTGTCCAAGAAATAAGCCGTGCGGCGTGTAAGAGACTTCAAGACCCAAAAAATAATTTAGTTTGCCAAGATCTTCAATGGAGAACTCACGATGTATGCGTTGAATAAGGTTCCTGAGCAGATCGGGATCGTTGCCCGTAAGGATGATGTCATCGACATACAACAAGAGATATATGGTGGAACGGCCCCTGTGAAGAAAGAAGAGAGATGAATCAGACCGGCTCTGGCGAAACCCAAGAAGAAAAAGGAAAGTGCTGAACCGATGGAACCACGCCAAAGGTGCCTGTCGGAGTCCATAAAGAGCCTTCTTCAACCGGCAAACGTGGTCGGGAAATCGAGGATCAACAAACCCCGGTGGTTGAGCCATGTAGACGGGTTTAAAAAGAATACCGTTTAAGAACGCATTGTTGACGTCCAACTGATGAAGTGACCACTGATGATGGACTGAGAGAGCAAGAATGATCCGAACAGTGGCTGCCTTTACAACAGGGCTAAAGGTGTGAGAGAAGTCTTCCCCAGGGATTTGGGTGAATCCTTGTGCCACAAGCCGAGCCTTGTAACGTTCAATAGTGCCATCCGCCCGAAATTTGGTACGAAAGACCCATTTAGAGCCAACAATATTAGTATTGGGAGGGCGTGGTACCAAATCCCAAGTGACTGAATAGCATGCATTTCATCATTCATAGCAGCAATCCATTGGGGCGATTTCATGGCAGATTTAATGCCGCGAGGTATGGAGGAGGCAACTAAAGCTGATAATAATGGCGAAGTGGCCAAATGGACAGGATATTTATTCTTGAAAATGCCAGACTTCTCGCGAGTGATCATAGGATGAGAAGGTTGTAAGGGAATGATTGGGGGAGAGTTATGATTGGAGACGGGTGGCGAGGGTGGAGGAGTGGGTGGTGATGGTGAGTGTGGAGGTGTGGGTGGTGGCGGGTTAGGTATAAGAGAAGGAGTATGGGGTAAAAGGCATGCTTTGCAAGGTCGATCAGTGGATGTAGAGATAGGTGGAATGGCCGGAGATGGTTTTTCAGGGAGAAGGGTTGGCTTAGAGGAAATATGTGGAGATTCGGAGAAAGTAGAGAACTCCAATAGGGATTTGCGGGATGAGCTAGTAGCACCAGAAAAGGGAAAATGATGTTCATCAAATTGAGCATGACGGGTAATAAATATCCTTGAAGTGTTAGGATCATAACACCGGAAACCCTTGTAAGAGCCACTGTAACCTAGAAAAATGCAAGGTCGACTGCGAGGAGCCAATTTGTCAGGAGCATAATCTCGTAGATAGGGAAATACCCGACAACCAAATGGTTTAAAGTGAGCATAATCGGGAGGAGACCCAAATAGCACTTCAAATGGTGATTGATTGTGAAGTATAGAAGATGGCAGGCGATTGATGATATGAATTGCCGTGGAAAATGCATCAAACCAAAACTGAGCAGGGACATGAGCATGAAACATCATGGATAAGCCGGTTTCCGTAATGTGGCGATGCTTGCGTTCAGCGCGGCCATTCTGTTGAGGAGTATAGGGGCATGAAATTTGATGATGAATGCCATGAGTTTCCATAAATGCCCGTAAGCGATTATTTGTGAACTCCGTTCCGCCATCTGATTGAAAAACTTTTAAAGAGGCTGAAAACTGATTACAAGCAAACTGATGGAATCGCATAAATATATCAACAAACTCATATTTGGCACAGAGGGGATAGAGCCAGGAGAATCTAGAAAAGTCATCAATAAATACAGCATAATAACGATAGCCATCAGCAGTAGCTATCGGTGCAGGGCCCCACAAATCACAGTGAACAAGGTCAAGGACATGAGATGCACGTTTTTCATTCAAAGGAAAAGGAATTCGCTTACTTTTGGCTAATTGGCACGAATTGCACAAACCAGGGTTTGGTAAAAGAGATGTAACAGATAAATGTCCCATTTTTTGTAAAAGAGAAATCATACGAAATGGGACATGCCCCAAACGTAAATGCCATAAATCAAAAGAGGCTTTTATTAAATTAGAATTCAAACGAGCAAGTAATGCTGGATGACCGCGCTCCAAGACATATAGACCTTGTTCACACCTGCCTTGAGCTAGAATTTTCTTTGTCTCCCGGTGCTGAACAGTAAAAAATTTGTCAGAAAAAGTAACATCCACAGGATGATCAGATGTGAGTTTACTGATGGACAAAAGATTTTTGGTAATGTGAGGAACAACCAGAACATCCAACAATTTAATATTATTATGTAGGGAGTGGGTTCCAATATGAGAGATAGGCAAAGCCGAGCCATTGCCCACAATAACCTTACCGTTCCTGGAGTAGGGCTCAAATTGATCCAGATTTGTGGTTTGTGCAGTCATATGTGCCGAAGCGCCAGTATCGACATACAAATCTGAAACAGGTTCAGATAAATTGCAAGAGGTGTTAAATGATTCTGCAAGTTGGGCAGACGGCTGGGAAGAGGTTCCACGCGCCTGAAGAAATAATGGACATCTGTCCGCATAGTGCTCGCCTCTACAAATTTGGCATCGAGGAGTGTATGGCCGGCGAGGCGGATTGGAGCTGGAACCAGAACCACCACGTCCGCCTTGATGGTGACCGGAGGAAGAGCCGGACCTGAAGCTGCTAGGACCGCCACCACGACCGGAAGAGCTGCTGCGTGAGCGTGAGTTGTGTCCTGGACGAAAAGAAGAGCTGCGGTCATTGTGCTGAGTGAGATTTCTGCCTGGGTTGTGAGCGTAGAAAGCAGCAGAAGGTGACGGGGTTCCCTCCATGGTGCGGACGAACAATTCATACTGCTGGGCCTCAGTTATAAGGTCACGGAGCGGCATAACAGGGTCGCGGGACATCCGATTGTCGGCAAAGCTTAGGAATTGAGGGCCTAAACCTCGAAGAAACCAATGGGTCTTGTCAGATTCATCGACAGGTCGTCCAATTTCAGCAAGATTTTGACAGAGTTTTTGAAATTGGCGACCATAATCGGCCACAGACATTGAACCGCGACGAAGTGACTGCAGTTCATCGGTTGATTAGCACGAGATGCGGACGATGGAGAGAATGTGGCCTCCAACGCAAGCCAGGCAGCGCGAGACGTAGCACACCCGACAACTTCAGCCATAGACTCCTCTGTGAGAGTGGAGAAGAGGACGCCCAGGACCTTCTGATCTGTGGTTCGCCAATTTGTGTATGCTGGATTTGGGCGTTGAACAGAATCTTCGGTGATAGTTGGGGAAGGGGCTGAGATAGAACCGTCAACATAGCCGACGAGATTGAAAGCGGTGAGCATGGGAAAGACTTGGCTTTTCCATAGCAAGAAATTGGTAGATGAGAGTTTTATTGTGACCATATGAACCATTGTAGCAATGGGAACGAGATCAGGGGAAGCCATGACAGAGAGATAGCAAAGACGAAGGAGACCAGTTCGTCTCTAAAGAAGGGGAAGACGAAGGAGACCAGTTCGTCTCTAAAGAAGGGGGAAAGGACAGCGGCTAGAAGGAAGGGAGTAATCGGTGTAATCTGGCTGATACCATGTAGAATAAATTATTGTATTCACTATGTTATTGAGGATGTATTTTACAGTATATATAGTACAGCCGTTCCAAGAATACAAGGTAAGTAATTACATAATCAATATACAAGGAAAGAAAATATATTCTATTTCATACTTCATAGAGACATAGGCTTTATTTTCTTTCTATGCAATTTCTCATTTACTTTAGCTTTCATTTAAGCTTGTTCCAGAAATCTTCAGAAGTAGATAAAGATAGTATGTATACAAATTCATCTCTACTCCGTATTTACCCTCCGTTTTATTTAGATAGATTGAGTATAGTGAAAGATTTACGGAGTGTTATAGATACTACATGATTAAAAATATAAAGCTCAAAGATGGGCAGTTTTCACAGGAGTTCTTCAAAGAAGTTTGAGACTTTGAGTACGAAGTATTCAACAAGAGGTATGCAATTTACACTTCTTTTAGCATAATACGGAAACTCTCTGCATCTCTTTCTTTAATTCTTTTAATATATACGTAGTATAAATTAATATATGTATATATATATATATATATATATATATATATATATATAATAGAATTTTGAAGAATATATTGATCCAAAGTTCATATTCGGCTTCTTCATTTTCTTTCACAGAAAATATAGCAATAATTTTCTGATATGGAGGATCCCAATTGTTGGGCAACCATAGAGCATACTTCTTATAGTTTTGATTATATATAAACATGTTCATACTTCTCAACCTCTGATTTTTCTTTTTTTCCAGATAAGTTGATAAATTCATGAAATAATAAACCTGCTGGGAAGATGATGATTTCAGGGGTTTGAGCAAATTCGTGTTGATAACGTGTTATAAAATGGAAGGAAATAAACAAAAGATCAGGGAGAAAAAGTATAGTCTGAACAATTAATGAGAAAGATGTTATTAAGAGTGTGATAATGGTGTTGTAATGGTGTGTTAATTACAATGAGAATGGCTCCTATTTATAGTATAAAGTGTGAGCTCAATGAGATTAGGAGATCATTGTGAGCCACACATTTATCACCTTGAAATCACAATTATGATTTCCTAATTATTTATGTAATGGTGAAAATAATTCCTAATCAGGAATAGTTAGAAGATGACTAATTCAATAATATTTCAACAGGATCGTAATTCAAAGAAAAGCTTTTAGATACGAATACAATAGAGCTCGTAGTGATCTCTTAATAGACTATCACAACCTTACTCCGTTAATAAATCAAATTTCCAACTAGTTTGTACCAAATTGGCGTATTCACTAAGTCAATCCAATTTTTTCTTGCAATCATGCACCGTCAATATATTCAACCATCAATTTTTTTAAAGAAATTGTATAGGCAATATTGGTGTCATATGAAAGGTAATAAAAAATTATGAAATTTAATATATTTTTTGTAAAAATAGGAATACAAATAAAAAAGTTATACTCCGTATAAGTTTAAATAAAATAAAGATTTTTTTAAGATGGGATTCATCTCCTACTTTTTTGTTCATTGGCCATTTCCTATACTTTTTGCTTTCTCTCTCTTTCTCCCACCCTAAGTGGGTTGATTATTCCCCACCCTAAGTCCTAGCCATTCACTTCCTCCCTTTCCTATACCATTGATTGTACAAGAAATTGGAGTGAAAACATCAAATTTATTCTTTTCACTCCAAGATTGCAACTAGTCTTAGAGCATCTTTAATGGAAAAGTGGATTGTATTCCTGAAAAAATGGACACGTCACTTAAGTCAAGCGGCTATGAAGCTGATGTGGATGATTGGCATTTAAAATAAATCAATAGCTCCAACACAACAGTGGATACAAAGAATTAGGGAGTGTTTGCAACTGCTTCTGCTTAATAAAAGCACTTTTGGAGATGTAAGGAAAAAGTGATTAGTAGTAAAAGTTGATAGTGTTTGAGAAAAAAGTGATTTTGAAAAGTAAAAGTTGGTAGTGTTTTGTAAAATAAGTGATTTTTGTGTAATAAAAAGAGGAAAAGCACTTTTCAATCAATTGTCCCATTAAATATGCTCTTATATTATGCTCCCAGCGACTCAAATGCGCAAGTTGTTAGCCGCGCTATTCCACTTCCCCCATTTTGGTGGGTTGTTAGTTGTGCTTATCCCTCTTTTGTCCACTCAACCTCGTCCATCTTTTATCCCTATCCTTAGTGTTGACTTCATTGTCATCATCTAAATATGCGGCCATACATAATAAGAAATTACTTGGCAATTAAATGTTTTGGCTAAATATTCATGCCTTAACAATTGCCCCTTTCAAGAAGTTGAGGCATAGGGTGCACATGTCCATATGTAAGCAACAATTTTTCGAAATCTTGAAATATCTTATACTTGTCATCCTTAATTATTGCATCTCTTGACTCATCATCTGTCTGATGAGACACGCCTATCAACTCGTCATCTGCGTCGGTCAATCTGTCACCCGTCTGGCGAGACATTTTCGTCACTTTCTTTTTAAGTAATTTCTGATTGAACCTCATCTATTTGGTTGAAGCGATGAAGAACGAATGCCGATATTCGATCCTCTTTCCCCAAATTTGTGCTAATGACTAGATGTTAGTCAATTGAAACTCCGTCCACGTTGAAGTTGTCACTTCAATTGGGAGGAGTGACTTTGTCCCCTATTGGATAAACATAAAAACAAGAATATATACATATACATATTATCTGGCCATTTGGCTGCGTTACTATGTTCACTGTGCGCTACAATTGTACGCTCGGACGGGAAACCCAGATGATTGACATGGATCATGGGGTTGTTCACAAGCGACAACAAAGGTAGAAACTAAAATCGGAATCACTCGATGAGCTCTAGTGGGAATATTGGATGATGCTCGGCACGAACCTTGGAGTCGTTCATGAGAGATATCATAATCTTGTTGTGTCAAAGCACAGGTAACCCGGCTTCCGTCACTGCGTGACGCCGCCTCTGCGTGATTATCATATGAAGACCGTTTCGATCCATAGTAGGGTGTGTTGTAATCGTTATTGGTTGGCTCAATCAGAACTCGGCCCACTTACTGTTTGAAAGTAGGGTATGCTGTAATCGTTCTTGATTGACTCAATAAGAACTTGGCCCAGTTATTGTTCAAAAGGAGGGGCAGACACCCACACATCTAGCAAGATTACTCAAAGACACAAATTCAAGGAAGACCAAGGGAAGGCACGGGCAAGAGTATACTTTCTCAAGCAGATTCGCACGCTCACTACTAGGCATGGACTCAGGCTGGATGGCCCGACCAGAACCGGCCCGACCCGACACTATTTGGAACCGGCTCGAACTGGTGGCCCGGCCCTGGGGCTTTACGATGCGAGCTCAGGTCACCCAAAAGACGAACCGGCCCGGTTCTGGGCTTTTTTTTCAATTTTATTTTGTTTATTCTGGGTTGGGGCTGGGTGTTTTGGACTGTTTGGGGGGGGTGAGGGAGGAGGGGGGTCGGGGGTTAAGTACAAAAGCCAAAAAAAAACTAAGTAGCCCGAGGCCCGGCCCGGCCCGTACACGGTGGCAACCCGAGCCGGTTCCGGGCCTTCCCCCATTCCTCAAAAGCCCGACCGGGCCTAGGCCCGACCCGGGTCCATGCATACTCACTACTCAAGAAACTGGGGGACTTGTGTTGAGGTATATTATCCCGGCCTACTACTGTCCAGGGGCCCAAGGTATTACCCCGGTGTGGAACCCAATTAAGGAGACCCATCACCGGCCCATTAGATCTTGTTTCGGCCGGTTTCAGCCATCCAGTCCACTTTGGCCCAGCAGGCCTGCCTTAGCCCGTTTGACCCATTAGGGTGGAGTGCCTCCCCATCCCCTTTCCCTATAAAAATGAGATTTCCCTCCATGTTTTGGGATCTCTTCTCTTCTTCCCCAATTTTACTTATTTCTCTAGACCAAGCTTCAATACTCCATTAATGGGAGCTCGATATTTATACCATGTAATGGTGAGGAGTGCATTAATGAGAATGAGAAAGCTTGAACATTAGCCTAAAAAGTTTCTTGGTTTTCTCCTTTTCAGGTTTCCACGTAAGAACAGAGAGTTCATACATATTTATTTCTATATTTATTATATCGTGTTCAATTAAACTCAACAAACACCTTACCAAGTGGCATGTGGGTCAATAGAACATTACCTCCAAAAAGTGAAATTTGAGTATATTTATGATGTTCAGAGTGTGAATAGAAACTTTTTTTGTTCAAGAGGCAAATTGACCATTCCACACTGGCACTCTGGCAGAGGAGTCTATTTGACCCTCTAGCAGTTTTTTAATAAAAGGAATGTTATCACACCCGGTTTGTTTTATAGATTTGATTCCTACAGAATGTGGCATTGTTTAGTACGATTTTACATCTTTGTTTGCGTTTGTGTAACTAGTTAATATATACTCCCTCCGGTCCTAAATAAATTTCACACTTTCTTTTTGGGGTAGGTCTAAAATAAACTTCACACTTCTATTTTTGGTAACTTTTTAATATAAAGTTACCCTTATAACCTTACTTTATTACCTTACACCCACTTTCTCTAGTACATCTAATCTACTTCTTTGTCAGGAATACAATAACAGTGCAAACGTATATATAAATAGTAGTTACATAAAAACAGCCCAATTTGATTCTCCAAGACGTTTATCAATATGTGAGACATCCTCACATCCAATCATACTGCTAAACTGCACCAGTGCAACTTAACTTGTTGCTTTATATCGTTTCACTGGAGCTCTGAAGGATGAGAGGCGAGTGGCATCTGATTTTTCAATCCCATCAAAAACATAACTGAAAGGTGCCATCTTAATGTACTTTCCAGAACCTGGAACGACATTCAGCTCACCATTTACCCAAACAACCCTTCCCTGAGAAATAGTGACTTCGACTTTTCCCTACATATATATATATATATAGACAAGAAAGACAGAATTAAGCGTTTGGGGGGGGATTTTGTAAAAATCACTGAGCGGAATTATGCAAGGTCTAAGTGTTGGCGCCCAAGACCCCAAGTACAGCCAGGCATGTAGGTGTCTCAGGGATTTTTACAAAAACAAAAAAAAAAACTCATAAAGCACTTGTTGGGCATCCAACATCAGTAGAAACTAGAAATTCTGGATTCGGCTGGTCTCGCATATAAGTTTAAGTTAGGCCAGTTTCATGGCATCAAGGTTTTTGGTGGGATGCCCACCCACTCCATGGTTAGGAGCAACTTGTTTGGGGTTAGTTTTGAATTATTAGTCCACCCTTCTAACACAGCTTGGTCAGAGGATGTGTTGGGTATCCACATCAGTTATCAAAAGGATGTTAAAAAAAAAGTGTCAAGTAAGGATTTGAGAATAGGCCCAACTTATTAGTAAAACTCGCATCTTATTATAATAGGCCCAACTTAACAGCATTTGAGAATTTTTAACCATGGGAGGGAAGGGGAAGGGGTAAGGCTGCGTACATCCAACCCACCCTTACCCCACCGTAGGTGGGAGCCTTTGCGGCACTGAGGTAATGATGATGATGATGATGATGGAGGGAAGGGGAAGGGGATAGCATTCTGAACAGCAATATCTGAAAGGAATGTCTCTCTCACCATCCCTTACAATTAATTTCCTTATTCCTTAAATCTCTTTAATTGTTAATGCCAGTTTGCACTTCTACCATTTAGCCATTTACTCTTGCGTCACCTCAAATTCACAATAAAATTAGGACACTGGTGGACCTATTGGTTGCATTAAACTTTTTACCAATTTTCTTACGAAGTAAACAGCTTACCTTGCCTTGCATCCCCTCATAAACATTGGTATCTGATCTAGAGTGGTGGGAATTGGAACTAATTTCAAAACTTGAATTAGGGTTCAATATGATTATATCTGCATCTGACCCAACAAGGATTGCTCCTTTCCTCGGATATATATTGAAAATCCGTGCACTAGAAGAAAGAAGCACCAAATTGAAGTTAAAATCTACCGTGGAGTAAACATGCAAGAAAACAATAAGTAATAAAGTCAAACTTTAAAGCTATTTTTAGATCCAGGAATATGTTAGAGATAGTAAATGATAGTTAAAGTTGTATTTTTTATGTTTCGTCTTACCTCAGCAAATACAAAGAAAAATGAAGCATGATTGAAGTTTTCGAATTCATTATATAACTTTATTTTTCCTAGTATTTAAATAATAAAGATAAATGAAAAAAAAAGAATTTAAACCAATTTGAAAACCATTCACTATTTTAGTTTGGATTTGAACCAGTCCACGTGTTCTTTTGTTCAATATTTATCCTATATTTTTCTCCATGTTTTTAAAATTCCAAACATGGAGAAAACTGGCTCACTGAACTGTTTGCGCTTCTTTGTTTTGAAGCAGTAATTAGTCCATGCAATTTTCGATGTGATTTTCATCAGGAGTCACCCGGAAACGGTCTCTTTGTACTTTAGTACATGGATAAGGCCACGAACATCCGCCCCTCCTTACCCCACCGTAGATGGGAGCCTTTGCGGCATTGAGGTAATGTTGTTGTTTTCCATGTTCCTAACATACCCAAAATATCTAGGTGGTGCAATAAACACGGCAGAAAATATTATTGAAAGAGATTGACATGCTCCAAAACTTACCATTCAGTGCTCATCAAGCGAACATAATCAGTGACAGATATTTGACCAGATGCCTAGAATAACAGTCAGAACATGAAGAAAACTTCGAGGTTTGTTATAAAAATATGTTCGCAAGCTTAACTATCTAGAATCCTTGTGTATATGGAAAATATGAAACTTCTGGGTCTCGATAACCAGTTAAAAGGCTAGAAATTAAAGCTTACCACCATAGTATCCCAAACCAAGTGCATCCTCTCTTCAATGCCTAAAAGTAAAGCAACAAGGTAAGGTTAATTTTAGAAATAAAGGTGCAAAAGGGATTAAACTGCTATATTACCATTGACACCATTTGGTATTTTCCGAAAGTCATCAATTCCAAAGGCTTTCTGAGTTGAATTAAACGTACAGTGGTCAGTCCCTACCAGCTGCACAATCAATGCATCCATTAGCATGTAAAAAACGTTAAATTGTGCCCAACTCACCCAAAAGAACTATAAGTACGTGAGATTTACCATATACTAGACTCAACTGATATGGGATACTAACACATACCCCTACTTGCTGCCTCAAGCCATCCCCTAAAGTCACCATTGGACAAGCCGACAAGGCTTTGCCATCATGTTAAAATGGGCTTAACTAATCCCAAAAGATTTGAGGTTTACCTCACATTTACTCAAATATTACTAAAACAACGTTAATAACATATCAGGACTAAACCAAACTACACTTAAACAGACCAGATTAAATTTGACTCGAACATATTAGGTCGAACTAGACCACACTTGCAACACATAATATTATGACCCAAACCTCCACATAGCAGACTAGATGTTACTTTCCAATACAGCAACTAAAACAACTACATCCAAGCCTTATTCCCAGAAGATTTTGGGGTCGGCTAACATGAGTCGCTACATGATATTATAGCCAAAAAGAGAAGAAAGATAAGAAGAATAAAAAGATAACATAAGATAAATGGATAAATAACATATAATCTAAAAATAAGAACAAAATAAAGATAAAAGATAAAGATACATATAAGCTAGAAATAACATAACAATTAACAACAAAATATAGATGAAAGATAAAAAGATAAAAGAGCATAAGAAAGACAAAAAATAAAAATAACATATGAACATAGAAACATAAAGAAGATAAAAGATAAAAGAAAAAGTGAGAGAAAAGAGAGAAAATAAATCAATCATCCACACGAATATGCGCCCTCCACTTTGCTCTCTCCAAAGCCATACTCTCATCCAACCCAGGAAGAAGAATATCAGTTCTGATTCCTCTAATCCAAGTCTGTTTGGTTCTTCCTCTCCCTCTCCTCACAGTCTCTTCTCCCCACCTCTCAAGTCATATAATAGGTGCATTACTCGGTCTTCTGCGCACATGACCAAATCAATACAATTGATACTTCTCCATTTTATCTTCTATAGGTGCTACTCTCACTTTTTGTCTGATTATCTTATTGCTCAAACGGTCTTTTCTGGTATGTTCAAACATCCAACGCAAAATATGCATCTCTGCCACAATCATCTTTTGAATGTAACATTATTTCACAGCCCAACACTCTATGCCATACATTATTGCAGGCCTAATTGTTGTTCGATAAAATTTACCTTTCAATCTAGTTGGCATACCTCGATCACATAGAAATCCTAATGCATTCTTCCATTTCATCCAATTGCACTGATTCTATGGGATATATCTCTATCTAATTCACCATTATTCTATATTATGGAACTCAAGTAATGGAACATATCCCACACCAGTATCTCCTTGCCATCAAGGGTAATCCCATTGTTAATACTACTTCTACCTTGATCAAACTTGCACTCCATATATCCAATCTTGTTTTGGCTCAGTCTGAAACCCTTAGTCTCCAACGTTTGTCGTCGTACTTCCAACTTTGTTTTAACAACCCGATTGCGTCTCATCTAGGGCTGGGCAAAAGACCCGGTCCCGTTGGTCCGTTCCGGTTCCGTTCCGAAATTGTCCCGTTAAATTCGGGACAAACTATTTTTGTCCCATTCCGGTCCCGAACCGTTTCAAAACAAAACGGGACCGGGACAAGTAAATTATGTCCCGTTCTATCCCGTTGTCCCGAATTCAAATACTAATGAAATTAATTAGTTATTAGTTATCTAATATGTAGAACATCTAGGAGTCTAAATTATCAAGTATGAATTATCTTCTACATACTAAAAATAAACTCATGTATACTCCCACATGTTTCACTTCTAATAATATTATATTGTTTTAGTCTTTTTTATTTTTGCAGTTTCTTAGTAGTATTGTGTGTGTCGGAGGTATCGTTGTTGTTACTGTTTGTTTCGTGCAACTATCCCATTAATCTACTACTTTTTTGTGTTGCATTTATTGTAAATTTTTTATGTGTTGCATTTATCGTAAATTTTTTATGTGTTGCATTTATCGTAAATTTTTATGTGTTGCATTTTTAGTGTTGTAGTTTTTTGTCATGAAGTTTGTTTATTGCTTTGATGTGTTTTTGGAGTTGTATTTTAACGCTGCAATTTTTTTGGGATGTCCCAGACCGTCCCGTTTTGTTTCGGTACCGGTTTAAAAGGGACAATAGCGGGACAACGTCTTGTCCCGTCCCGTTCTGTCCCATTATCCTAAATCGGGTTCGGGACCAGGATAGTCTAATTCCCGTCCCATCCCGTCCCGTGCCCACCCCTAGTCTCATCAATCAATACAATATTGACGGCAAACATCATGCACCACGGTATATCTTCTTGAATTGATTTCGTAAGTTCATCTATGACTATAACAAATTAAAAATGATACAGAGCCGATCCTTGGTGCACTCTGATATAATATGCCTTTTCTAGTTAAATCCCACCAAAGGGCTCCTAGGTTCCTATCATATGCATTTTCTAAGTCGAGGAACACCAAATGCTGATTCTTTTTAGTGTCTCTATACTTCTCCATAACTGATCTAAGAAGGTCAAGGACCTCAGTTGTTGAGCGTAGTTGTTGAGCGTCTGGGCATAAAACCACTCGCTCCCAAAGTTTCATGGTATGACTCGTAAGCTTAATCCCTCGATAGTTGGCACATTCTTGTACATGACCCTTATTTTTAAATAAGGGAATAAGGGTATTCTTCTGCCAACTCACTGTCATTTTGTTGCTTATCCAAATCATTTTGAAGAAACGAATTAGACTTGAACAAACTTAAATGGACCATATCAAACCAGCAAAATCAGTTCAAAAGCACAAGGGTTAACACGTGAAATAGAGATTAGAACTGTGTAATCCAAAAGCAAGAGAGTTTCGGTACATCTGAAGATAATGGTGATTAAGTAAATAAATCGAACTTCCTATGCAGAAGTACAGGCTTATGTAAAATGCGCTGTTTAGCCTACAGCTAGAGAGTTTTTTTAACGTGTCTTTAAGAAATTATTACAGCCCAACTAATCAATTCTGGTAGACATAAGTTTCTTTCCCTCTTAAAAAGATCAAAATTATAAGTCTTTTCAACTTTTGATACAATGGTTGTGATTAGGAAGGAAACCACAAACAATTTTCATTGATTAAGCAAGGATGGCATAAATGACTGCCTTACATTGGATATGATAGATACCTGTAAAATGCCTGTCGAAAGTGCTGCTTGAAGAGCCTTCCCATGCCCTGATGTTCTAATAGGTGGGCTCATGATGTATCTGGAGAAAAATGGCATTTAGCCCTCTCTTAGGTAACTTTTGCGAGGAAAATGAAAAGAAAACAAAGGAACCACGAAACTAAATGATAGAGCTACTTGGACGCTGTGGTAAAGTCTGGGTCCCAAAGTCCAGAATCATCAAGAATTAATCCAGAAACTACAGGTTCCCCAATGACTCTTTGCCCTGTAATACATGAAATGTAATAGCATACAACTATTAAATTCTGAACACACCTGCTTCTTCATCCTCATTGGAATTGAATACTGCAAGTATTTGCATACAGATTAAAAATTAAGCCTCAACATGTTTGCTAGAGGATATTGCCCCTGTTTGTAGTTAAAAAAAACAGCGTTTTGTTGCACTGCAACCGCCATTATCCAAACGGGCCCATTAGGAATTGTGATGCCATAGACCGACAAAACTTAACATATTTCTGTTGAGCGTCAACAGATCTGCTATATGGTTGAACAGGAAAAAAGAGATGAAGATAGATACTACTCCGTCCCATATTGGTTGTCTTGTTTTAGTTTGACACAATTATTAATAAAATGGTTGAAAGGTAAAAGTTGTGGTTGAGATTTGAGTAGAATAAAGTGAAATGATATAGATCACATATTTATTGTCAAAAAGGAAACAAGACATTCATTTTGGGATAACCCATAAAGGAAACTAAGACAACCAAAATAGGACAGAGAGAGTATAACCATATAATTGAGAGATAGAATAAACATGAAGTACCAAGGACCTCCAATTTACTTCTAAACATAGAATGTTAAAGAAGAATGGTTGAACAATAATCCAAGTAAATCTGAATAGTTTTTCCATGTGTTAAGAATACTGTACATAGACTATAGCAGATTTTGTACTAATTAGTTTGTATTAGTTTGTTACAATTAGTTCAAGTCGGTTGCTAGTTTGTTGAAGTCTCAAAGACTATAAATACATGTACTGTACTCCTGATATCAATAAGAAGTATTCATTTCAGATCCCATTACATTTCTAATACCATGTAATTGCTTTAATGCATAATAATATTTATAGCCGGAAATGAAAGAAATGTTGTTAGTTAGAGTTCAGAACCGTACAAAAAGCTATGTCAGTGTTCCTTTCACACTACTATAGCAATACACAGCAAATGATAGTAGCTGAATGGACAAGGAAAAGACTTGTGACAGCTAAGAAGCTAACTCGGATGAGATGCAAGGAGGAATAACTATTAACTATACAGCAAAGATATTGTAACAAAAGGTAAAAGGATGTGTATTTATATAATTGTATTTGTATGTCGACAAAAAGTATAGATCAAGGTTCAAGAAGAGGTGGATGCACATGTTCACCTAGGTGAAAAGTGCACTTAGGATCTGAGAGCATTCAATTAAGTAGAAGGATTAAGAAGCCAACATTTTTTTAATAACCTGATTTTCGAGCTCTAGCAATTTCTTCCATTGCATCAATGCTCATAACATGAACAACATACAGAGGTGTATTGATAAAACCAGCCAAGCGAATTGCTCGAGCTGTAGCTTCCCCTTCTATCTGCATTATTTTTGAACTCATACTAATATTGGACAGTGTTGAAACTGGGAAATAAAATTTAACTCACTTACCCAGCCATAGAGTATTATTGAGATTTATTTGATCAACTCATATGAGCCCTGAAATTTCCCTCTGATTTAAATAAGATATTCTATCATATAAACCCAGGTAAACCAGAAAAAAAAAACTAACAAACAAACAAAAGATCCAGAAAGTAAGAAGATGCAAACTCATCAACTGGACACATAATTCAGATAATAGTGTATCAATTACCACAGGTGGCCTTGACAGTGCATGTCCCTCTGGACCTGTGATGCCAAGTTCAATCATTCTCTTTTGACCTTCAAACACAGCATCACCATTTTCCGCATGAACCATGGCTAAGGCACCAAGAGACTTGCATTTCTTTAACCCCTCCAACAAAAGTTCATCATTGATCATAAGAGATCCTTTGTAGGCTAGGAAAAACTTAAATGAATTGATACCTAAATGTGAGATGATACAATCACTCAGCGATATGTGAGGAGACTACTGTGAAGAACAGTGAAAAGTCTACATTATATTCTAAAAGGGGAAAGTCTATAAATTATTCATAACAAGGTTTATGTACCATTTTCCTTGACCATGATTTCCATATCTCTCACAACAGTTTCATCCCATTTTGTGATTGCCACATGGAAACCATAATCCATGCATGAACTTTTTGCCTTATCAACATATGCTTCAAATCCCGCAGATATACTACCTTTTACAGGAATAACAAAATCTATATGCATGGTTGTTCCGCCTGCTAATGCAGCAGCCTGTCCACTAAAAAAGTCATCAATTGTCTGAGTACTCATGAATTCCATTGCAAGGTGCGTGTGCGGATCAATCCCCCCTACAATGTGATGCATTTGGGAATAAAATCTGACGACTAACATTCTTTTTCACCATAAAGGAAAATAAAAGATGAAACAAGAAAGAACTACATCATGTAAAATGTGTGACCTAGATAAATAGCAATATAGCATGAAGGCACAGAAAAAGCAAATATTAAAAGTTAGAACTCAGATATAACCAAGTCTAAAATGACATTAAGGGCTCTGTCTGTTTCAGCTTTTCTGAATAGACTGTAGACCTTATAAATAAGTGCATAAATAAAGATAGCTTCAAACAAACAAAAAATAAGTGTTTGGTAGTTCATTAAAAAAGCACTTCCAAATTATTCCAATCTATGAGCTTGATTGGTTCTGCAGTGCGGCTTATGTAAGTAGAGCCCATGTGAGTAGAGCTTTTGCACAAGAGCCAATGAAAGAAGAGCTTTTAGAGAGAAGTTATTACCTTATTGGGTGATTTAATTTTAACCACAACACACTTCAAATCTAAAATATAAAGCAACTTGGGATGAGTGTGGGGATCTAGACAAAATAAGTACTTTTTCAAAGGCAGTTTTTAATCAATACTCCATACCCATATACAACAATTACATGAGCACTAATTTATTAAGGAAAAATTGAAAATAATAATCCCAACTATTGCCGGTCCGCTAACAATAATCCCAACTATTGATTATTTTTGTATAATCCCAACTATACGGACCGTCCGCCAATAATGGTCCATGACCAAATAAAAAGTGAATTTCAAATACAAATTAAGCGTAAAAATTAAAAGTTGAAATTATTTATAGGGATTGCTTGCTATATCTCTTCTCATCCACTTTAGAAACTATAGGAATTTATTTATAGTCGGTCACGTCCGACCATTATTGGCGGAAGGTCCCTAAAGTTGGGATTATTCTGAAATAATCGATAGTTGGGATTATTATGAACGGACCGCCAATAGTTGGGATTATTACTACCAATTTTTCCATTTATTAATCATATAGAAAAACTAATGCTAAAAGCTAATAAAATGTTGAATAAAACTGAATAAGGAAATAACTATAATAATATGAATAAGAAACTAATACTAGTAGTACTATTATTACTAAAAGAAACTAAAATTAATATAATTATCATAAAAGATTTCTTTTATGATACTTTTTCATGTTCCTTTTGCGTGACCCTCACACAACACACTCATATCACAGTTTTAATTACTCCCAAAAAACACAAAGTTTGAGGTTTTGTAACTAGAGGTAAAATACTAAAACAGCTTTTGCTCCAAAAAGTAACTTTTACATAAAAACATGTCAAACTCTTCTTTTATTACTCATGAGTATTTGTTTGTTAGAATAAACACTTCGACCTCTAATAAAGACACATCAAACACTCCAAAACTCATAGCCATTTTTCCTTTACTCAAACGTTGAAATTTTGAGATTTGGGAAGTGGTGGCAAAATGACTTCTCCATACCCCGAAAGCGCTTTTCAACAAGTAAGACAAAAAAAAATTGTCCATAAAATAAAATTGTCCGTATTTTATTAATGATTACTGCTTTAAGTATTTGTTTTTAAACCACTTCTGCTTCTTCTAGAAGCTATACCAATATATGCTAATAAGCTAATTCTCCGTAAAATAAAATAAAAAACACCTAGGTTATGAAAAAATAGATTTACCTGAGTGAATAAATATAAACATAATATTAGCTCTAGCTAGGTGAATTATGGTTAACCATGTTTCGGTTGAGAATAATAAAAACAAAAACATAATCTAAGTCATTCACCCTGATTACCCCCGATTCGGGGGTAATCAAAACGGAGTGCAAGGTGAATGATTCACTTCATCTCGCTTATGTTAATAGTACAAATGAGGTTCCCACATGGACTGAATCACTGAATCAAAATTTTACCTAAATACACCTAGGTTCACCTTAATCCAAATGGAGCATAAGTCTCTCTTCTTATAATTCCTTCCAGTGACTGATTGGTGTCCATACTAGACCATGTTAAAAACACAATACTCAATTCTTCATATACGAATAGACTTTAAAAAAAGTTCCTTCAATAAGGGCGAAAAAGTGTTCTAGAACTTATTGATTGCCTGCTACAATAATGTTGTCCGCTGATCTATGGCATATGCCATATCAGTGGAACTGAAAAGAGCAGATGATATTCCAATGCTTACAAGTCATGGATAATACTATTTTATGAATATTACTAATATCTAATGATTGAATACTAGAGAAGAAAGCTTCACCTGGCATGACAAACTTTCCTATTGCATCTATCGTTATCACATCATCGCCAACCTGCAGACAGTGCTGGTCAAACCCAGATAAAGTCTAACACGTTGAACACATTGATAGGTGACTGAAGTATAAAAATTACACCTCCAGTCAAATAATTAGCAAGAAGCTTGTAAGTAATAAAAAGAATTGGATATGGGATTCCGCTAATTGCCAAGTCAATTGAAAAGAAAGAACGCAAAATCTGAAATGGGCCCATAATACACCCCTGTCAAACCAAGCTGCAATAAGGGCTGGATGTGTGTTGTACTGTTACCTTATAAATACCGCCTTTTTCCAAGTCTCTAACCATGCATAGGCTGAAATAGTGAAATATATGGAGCAAAAAAATTGGGAAATCACATAGTTCGCGGTACGCGTTCGGTATGATGTACCATATGTTTGGTACGATGTACCTAATATTTTGGTACTATAATCAAACTGAATTACAGAATAGAGATTTCAACATTGAACAAAAATAGATTTCATAACATGATTTCATAACATTAAACAAAAGCAAAAACATTAATGTTCAAGAAACATTTCAAGCAAAACTGAAAAACAGCACTACAATCATTGATTCAAAGTTCAAACAAGAAAAGTACGTGACTAATATACTCGAGGTCTCTTTTCTTTCTCCTTGTCCATGTCTTCATCCTCTAGATTCTCCCAAACCGTCTCTTCGAGTCGTGAACTTAAGCCTTCTATGCATGTGCTTTCGGGATTGATGTCCCAATATTTGTGTGGACCGGGGCTTTTTAGGATTCTGAAAACCGTGACTGGAGTCGAATGTTGGAGTGAATGAAAACCAACTTGTCGGCTCTTTTGCAATTCAATCGGTTTCTCTTCACACTATGAATGTAAGAATATGTACTCAAATTTCTTTCCGTCGAAGAGCTACTAATCGGTTGTGAAAGCACCTTCTTTGCTACTTCGGCTAATTCTGGTGTTTCAGCTCCATTGGTTGGCCACCAATCTATTGCATCCATTGTCACGCGGGTTTAATGCACCAAACCTCCCTCTGATATGGAAATTGGGCGCATTAGCCCACTGTGATTTAAAAATGCGTCAAACCCCCTTGTGTTTTAATTAATTATGCGCAAAATCCCTTCTATGAACAAATCCAATTGTCAAATAAAAGAAAAATGATTAACATTTATGTATGATTTAGAGATTTTGACATATTTACTTTCATATTCAATCAAAATATTAGGAAAAGTGATTTCCAAATCATTAAATTTATTCATAAAAGGGGTTTTGTGCATGATTAATTAAAACACAAGGAGGTTTGACATATTTTTCAAATCACAGGAGGCTAATGCGCTGAATTTCTATATCACGAGGGATTTGATGCATTAAACCCATTGTCACGCAATCCACTTGTGTTACCACCATTGAATAGATCTCTTTCTTCATATGGAATGTAGCAAATTGCTCTCGTAACAATCTTTCCTCTTCTTGATTTTCTGTAATTATCTTGAAAGCTTCCATAACACCAAGCACAACCTTTTTATCTTGATTCGGTGCTTTTCTTGGGATACCACCCGGAGCCAATTTTTCAAGATAAAATTTATCATAAAATCTTGGATTTAATGCAAACCCCAAACAGTGAAGTGGGATTGTCATCTTCTCCCATCTAGCTACAATAATTTTCTCCACCATGATGTCCTTTATTTCACCCAACATATTATCCATCCTTTCATAGATTCCACCCATTTTTAGGCCATCGCAAAACTTTATAAGTAGAAAAATAGGCTTAGTAATTGCCAAAACTTTCCTAACATCATCAGAAAAGTCATCATTCTTAATTGTTTCAGCAACATTAGCCCCCATTAATTCTTGCATTTTCATCTCCACTTCTCACCCATTCCCTCCAAGAATTGCAAAAATAGTTGAGGAAAGAGCCTCCCTACAATCCATCACTCTTTTTAACAAAATGTAATGGGATGCAAACCGGGTTTTCGCAACCTTTAACAACTCCAAATTTGAGTTTTCACGAAAGATAGCTCAAACATGAGTATTGTTAATAAAATACTTAACAATTCTCTTGCATCTTCTATACGTATTATGCAACCATTGGAGTTCTTTTGCCATGTCTTTGAAAATTAAATTCAAAGTGTGTATGCAACAAGGAGACCAAAAAATATGTTAATGTAACTTCTCGATCTCTCGTCCGGCCACTTTACAATTAGCCGCATTTCCGTGACCACTTGCAACACATTACTTGGTCCAACCGTGTCAATGGCTCCAAGAAAAAATTAGAAATCTTAACTCCAGATTTCTCAACTCCCGAAAAATCTTCCGCATACATGAACATCGCACCACGGGAATTCACCGGTAAAACATTGATAAGTGGCATATGCTTCACGTTAAACCACCCATCTGAGACAATTGACACTCCTTGAGTGTACCACGTGTCTTTCACTTGGGTTAGATCCTTCTCAACATCCCTAGCACATTCATCGAGCAATACCGTTCTTGCCTTTTCACTAGAAGGGGTTCTGTATCCTTCCGGTGCCTTTTTGATGGCATTCACCATTGGGATAAGGCTCAAATTGGACACTATGGTTTCATCAGAATATCATATTTGACACTAAGGTTTCAAATGGATCAAATTAGACACTATGGTTTCATATGTATCTCATATTGGACACTAAAGTTTCATAATTCTTAGGTTTTGGACACTCACTTATATTGGATAAAGATCAAATTGGACACTCACTTATATTGAATTATGAAACTTTAGTGTCCAATATGAGATACATATGAAACCATAGTGTCTAATTTGGTCCATTTAAAACCTTAGTGTCAAATATGAGATTCTGATGAAACCATAGTGTCCAATTTGAGCCTTATCCCTTCACCATTTCAAGTCAACTGCATTTCTCTCTAATAGCCCGAAAGATTCTTCCAAGCGCTTCTTCTAAGATACATTTTTGGATAGTAGAGAATTCTTCAAGGATTTTGCAACTTGGTCAGCTTCTGCCTCTTTACTTTATTCCAAAGTCTTTCATATTGTTGCCCATCTTTCATATTCTTGCCCATCTTTAAGGACTGTACTTCACTTTGCAATGTTTGCAAACCCACTGTTTTGCACCACCTGCATTTTTACTGTCACCATTGCCAATAAAATGTTACTTCATCAAGCAATGGTTTGGCCGCATTATGCAGCACCATCCTTAGCTTGTGTAGCAGATTGAGTTTGTTGAGTAACTTGTTGTTCTGCAATTTTGGTGTCACTATCAACATTAAAGGTGGTTGGGGACTGCGGTGTAGATGACGCAGCAGAGGCAGACCCAAACACCATTTTGAATGACTAGAAGAAAGACCCAAACGCAACAGGTGGCTAGGGACTGGGTGTAGGGACTGGGTGTATAAAGTCTGAAACAAGAGTGGAGAGAATAAAGTCGTCGGGAGAGTTAAGTGTAGAAGGACTGCTAAGAGTAGTTGGCGTATGAAGCTGATCATTTTGCCTCAATTATAACAGTTATTAGAGAGTAAAATTGATGAGTAGGATAAAAAAACTAAGGGTCTAAGAGCGTGGTTCGAAAATAACAATTTGTACGCAGTTTACACACGGGAAACGAAACGCAAACTAAGAGTCGCAGACCTTAGTTTGAAATCTAGGAAATGACGATTGAAATCTGGGAAACGGTGGGAAATGACGTTTTGAAGTTGTGTGATGAAGAGAAACGGCAAATAAAATCGCTTTGAACATCGATTGGGATCGATTTCAAGATCGATTGAGATCGACTCTGAACAGCGACTGGGTACGACTCCAAGACCGTACCACATAGCGTTCCGGCAAGCGACCTGATCGATTTCCTGCTGCGATTCGGTACGGAACGATCGGTACGGAGATCACGGCTTCTCTAACGATTTATGTATTTGTGGGACTCCCATTTTGTTTATATTTTCTTTACACATACATTTTGGGATCCCAAACTCTTTTGGGACTAAGGTTTGGATGTTGTTGTTGTTATAAATTTATGTTTTTTTATTCAGTTATTTTTCGTAAGGGTGGAAAATCTCAAAAACCAAAATATTTGAATATGCAATCCGCAATCCAATGTGAAGCAGTAGTTTAGCATATCATACAACAACATCCAAGACTTATTACCAAAAGATTTTGGGATTGGCTAATATGAATGGATCCATGATATCAAAGCAAAAAAAAGAGAAGAAAGATAAGAAGAATAAAAAGAAAAAGTAAGTTAAAATGGATAAGATAAATAAATAAAAGATAGAAATAACATAAGAACATAGAAAGATATAGAAGATAAAATATAAAAGAAAATGCGAGAGAAAAGATATCAATCGTCCAGACGAATACGCGCCCTCCACTTTGCTCTCTCCAAAATCATACTTTCATCTAACCCAAGAAGAAACATTCAGTTTTGATTCTTCTAATTCAAGTCTGTTTGAGTCTTCCTCTCCCTTTCCTCCCCGCCCCTTATCTCCACTTTTCAAGTCGTCTAACCAGTGCATCACTCGATCTTCTGCGCACATGACCAAACCATCGCAATCGAGACTCCTCCATCTTATCTTCTATAGGTGATACTCCCACCTTTTATTTGATTATCTAATTGTTGAAGCGGTCTTTTCTGCTATGTTCTCACATCTAATGCATACACATCTCTGTCACACTCATTTTTTGAATGTGACATTGTTTCACCGCCCAACAATCTACATCATACATTAATGCAGGCCCAATTGCTGAGTTTTTCTGTAAAGGAAAGATCTGAAACTAACAAGGGATTAAATAAGAGATCTCTTTCTATAAACTTTCGAGTGAGTAACTCATTCTTGGGCTTTCCTGCCCCAGGCTCGCTTTTGTGTAGAATAATGTGGTTAAATAGCAGTCATATCTTTCTTAAAACCAATTGCTAAACTCATTTTTAGCATATCATAAAAACAAATTTTTAATTACCCCTTTCACAATGGAGATGTGATAAACTCCAAAAAGCATGCCTCTTCTTGGAGCACAACGGAACATACCGAGAGAGAAAGAGATATATGAACGAACCAGCCCATAAATGTGGTGCCACAACTACTTCTAGGTTCTAGTTGTACCACAATGTGGTTATACCACTGCACAACTAAAATAGAACAAAAAGGATGTCCTGAATATATAAAGTGTGCTTGACTCTGCCATGATAGGCTTGACTTGTCTACCATTACTAAGCCCTTTTATAATCCTTCACAGCTTACCTGCATTGTAACGTTGTTCTTCATAGCCCCTAAAATCTCTCTCTCATTCATTTCATGCTTGTATAATCTATTCCCTGGGTGCATGTTAATTTTGAGCTAAAATAAGCAATTAATACACTGAAGCTTGCTCCAGAAGAACTGGATAATGAGCAATATGTTGGTATCAATTTGCAGCAAATTCATTGATGTAGGTTCTAGCCATTTCATCATTAAGCTCCAAGTCAATTCTCAAAAGCATAAATTACTATGGTCTATAATACCTTGATGTTAGGCTTAACAGCTGCAATGATACCATCCTCCACATACACATCAGCCAACTCCTGATGATGGGCATTCACAACAGTCCCTCCCTTAATCAATATCTTCGCGGATGAAACACCGCATCCAGATTTTCTATATCCCAATCCAGTATCACAAAACTGCAAAAATATGTGCGTACATCCATATATATAGGGGTGAGTTCTAATACAAAGATACCTTCTCATGAAAAGTGAAAAGTGGTCTAAGGCATTGATCACTTAAAAATAGACGGAATAGATCAAAAATCACGTGACAAAATGTTAAACCTAATTGTGCAATACCTGATAGTAAAAGTGCATATGCGATGTGGAATGGTGCAAATTAACTTCATTAAAAAAATATCACAAAACGATATTTATAATTGTTGTATTATTTCGAAAAGTGATGCACTTCTGTGTTAGGCAAATGCACCTTTTCTCCATAATGATGCACTTTTATTACTTTTTTTAAAAGATCTTAATATTTACATTTATCGCGTTTTGCACTTAAAAATTCATCTGATCCACTTATTTTCTCATTTTAATGGCTAAGTATTTGAACCTCCCTATGTATATATGGTCCGGTGAGAGAGTACTTCTTCTCATGAAAAATGAGAACGGTCTGAAAGGATACACATTATGATTCATGGAGGTGTGCATTTATTTAATCATTTATGCTTAAGGCAATGTGAAGTTCAAATGGGTAGAAAAGATGAAATTATTTAAGACACCGCATTTTCTGATTCATGATATTGCACATTTCTGGTTCATGACCATTTGGGAGGACGTAACTATCACAAGGCCATTGTGAAACAAACTTTCTCAACATCCAAACAACTGAGCTACCCGTGTAGGTATTGCTCTAACTACTCATAATTCTACTAACTGTACTACGCAGCTGAACTCGCGTGGTCTGTCACGTTTTGCTATGAAATTATTTTGCCTTAGGGAGAAATAGAAATGTTGGCTAGAAAAGAGCCGATAATAGAGTACCTGGCCAGATTGTGACGAAGGAAGAAAATTAATGGAGAGTGCGAGGAGACAAAATAGACGAATCGCCTGAGCTCGGTGTCTGAACCCCATCATTGAAGAGTTGACCTGGTGCATCGATACGCGTTGACTCCTTAACCTTGACTCCTTAAGCATGGCAAGTTTGGATGATCCGGAGAGAATGACGAGTAACGGGAATTTCCGGTGCTTGTTCCCAAAATAAGAATGGGGTAATTTGAGTTTGCACCCCATTTTATTGTCCAAATTGGACTTTGCACCCCATTTTTTAAAATGTTTGTTTTTGCACCCCAACCCCATATGAAAAGACAAAATTGTCCTCGATCAAGGATATGTTGAAAGCCAACAAAATTGTTAATGGAGGGGCATTTTTGTCTTTTCATATGGGGTTGGGGTGCAAAAACAAAGATTTTAAAAAACGGGGTGCAAACTCCAATTTTCACAATAAAATGGGGTGCAAACTCAAATTACCCCAATAAGAATCTATTGGCTCCCATCAGACCAGACCATACCAAACTTTCATAGTTATAAAATATACATAGGGACCAGATATTTATCGGACCAGACCAGATCAGACCACACCTGATCAGCAAATTTCAGACCAAAAGAAAACATCCTTAGTCCGCAACAAAGGATACAAATGTCAGATGCCTAGAGTGCTAGATAAACCCTCCTTTGTATTTACGGAGAATAAGGGTATGTAAATAGAATTATGGTCGGGTGAGACCGTGAGAGTACTTCTTCTTCTTCTTTTTTGTAAGGAAAACTAATTATATTATAGCAATCAAAGATAACAATTCCACAACAATGAAATGCCAAACCTTCCTATGAGACTCCGCATAGTCAAACGGTCCTCTCACTCTCTGACTAGACATAGAATAGACCACCCTAAAAAGAGCGAGACTATTCGCTAACCATGTGAGAGCTTCGAAGCTTTTAATGACAATACAAGTCTTATCGCTTCCACCCATAAACCTAACTTGAATAATGTAAAAACAACCAACGAACCTACTGCTAGTGTCCACAAAGCAGAAATAAATCCGGAAGTGTTGAACGATAAAATAACAAATGAAACAAGCGAAATTTATTTAAAGAAGTGTCCAAACCCTAGTCGCCCGTTCCTTCTCCAGCGGAGGTTCGGGAGGGGGACGGACCAATAACGCTTCATCGTCTTCCTTCAATTGCAAACGATCATAGACCCAATGGTCACCCCTGACTTCATCTTCTTCCTTCATCCTCATCGTTCCATAAGGTTGAGCCAAATCATCGATCACTTCCTGCCTCTGGGACATGCGATTATCCTTCATCATTGCCCTCCTTGAACCTGTTTTCGCCCGATGAAATCACAAATCTGCCACGAGCCGTATCCCTTTAGCAAAGCCGTTCTCACCCCTGTTGGATCCCAAGTCGTGCACTGGGACCTTCGAACCCAATTCCTCCTCCCACAGTGCCGACCTCCCAAGCCGTCTCAGCGCAGTCCAAAGCCGCAACACTCTCCGTCTCTTGGTAGCGGACGAAGAAAGCAGGCGCAATTGATCTCAGCAAGCACCCTCAGTTGGCAGCGGCCCAATACCAGGCAATTAGCCGCCCCCTGCAATAAACCTTGTAGCGAAATACTCCGATAACCCTGTTCAAACTAACTGGCCGCTCATCAAAGACGCCGCCGTCGATTAAAACCCTAGCGGTTTACGCTAGGTCCGTTCGCTCTTAGACCTCATACGAAGTTATGAACTGAGAGTACTTCTTAAAAACAACAAATAGAATATTTCTTCTTATTTGAACGGTTTTATATTAGTTTTGGTAAATTTTTCTCCATAATGTCAAGCACATTTTCTAAATATATCCGACATTATGGTTGACATTGTTGAGAAACATTTACCAAAAATACATAAGATCATGAAAAGAAGGAGAAATAAATGTCATAAATGTACTCTTCTGTGTCTATGTCTCTCATGTCACATGTGCACCGTGCAGATCGTAGCATTGGAGATGCTCTAATAAATCACGTATACCACATTTCAAATGCCACCACAAAGTAATTGTTCATTGTTTAAAGGGAGAACTATCAAATAAGCCCTCGAACTTACATAAAAAGTGAAAATCACCCCTTATATAGGAGGCTCTGTCCGATCGTCACCATTTGGGGCGGTTCCCGGTGGAATTTTTTGATGCAATTTTTTGAGCATCTTATTCATTAAGTCTAGTTTACTCATACCAAATTTAAGATAAAAATTCAATCGGGAAGGCAGTCAAATGAATTTTTGAAGATAACTGCGCAGTTAAACAGCGCAGTATATTTCAGAAAATAATTTGAGTGCCTTCCTGGTTGAATTTTTAGCTGAAATTTGTTATGAGTAAACTAGACTTAATAAATAAGATGCATAAAAAATTTCATCAAAAAATTTCACCGGGAACCGCCCCAAATGGCGACGGTCGGACAGAGACTCCTATATAAGGGGTGATTTGCACTTTTTATGTAAGTTTGAGGGCTTATTTGGTAGTTCTCCCTTGTTTAAATTAATTTGAGGTTGTGAATTTTTTAAACTAATGTCTACTTTATATATATATATTATTCTTATTGTATTAAAGTATTTTTGTTCTTAAAAAAAGTATTAAAGTATTTTACATATAATAAATTTGTTTCTTTATTTTATTAATAGTTTGTTAATTGATGTTATGTATTATTATAAGAGTCTGTTTGGTAATATCTTTTTTCCGCTTATCAGCATTATCAATCACTTTTACTCACATTTGTAGGGTCACTTTGGTGGCTCTTTTTTCGTCTTACAGCTTAACAACTCTTTCACCGAACACATAGCTATTAATTTTGCACGCTGAATTATGTAATGATTCTACAAAAATTTATGAAGTTCCGGTTGAAGTAGTTGGATTGGCCAGTCCTACTGAATTATGAAAAAAATTACAATTGTTTTACTAATAAAGTAAAGAAAACATTATATCAAAAATAGTTAAAATGATCCGCTATGGTAACTCCAGCCAATTAAGCCAGAAAAGTATTTCCGACCTTATTTGTTTTGATCATCCAATTGAGTTAATTTCACTGTTATCAAATGGGCTCGAAGATTCATAAGTTACATTTTAGATAGTTTCTTCATTTTAGTAAATTACATCAGTAAATTCGTTTCACCATTTAGTTAGTTTATTTACGAATATAGAATAATACCCGCATTAGTTAATTTTGTTATTAGTAAAATATTAAGACAACACATTACCAGTATTTCGAATAAAATGATTGTTGTTGTAAAAAACTATTAAGTTTTGTTTTTATGATATTAATTAATAATTAATTAATGTTTTGATTTATGGGGAGACACCGCAGGCTTCATTTATAGATGTTATCCGGCCAAATTGTCAAAGCCCAAATCTGAACGCGAGAGCAATTAGCAAGGAATGGAGTCTAAAGGGGTGAAGCCTCAAGCATCTCTCTCATCTACAAACGACAACTACGTTATGGTTGTATAATTTTTAATTTGTTTTAGTTTTTGTCTTGTTTACTCAATTATTTGTTTAACTAGTATGTGTACCTGTGCACTGCACAGCAAAATATATGCTTAAAATTTTTATTAAATTGTAGGGGAAATGAATTGTGTGTGAATTCGTCAATCGGAGTTTAAAAGAGAATTCAATCGACTATGAATATAGCCATCAAAATGATTCGAAGCCATATGGCTAATTAACCCATTTCATCTCATTTCACAATGGGTTAGAGTTGTCATTCTTTAATCTGATGAACTCACCAGTTTTGTAGTTCAACTTGCACGGGCTGCAGGTTAAGTGGGTTGACCCATGCAGGTTGTGAGTAAACCTAAATATAAACATCAATTTTTTACTTTCATTGTCTTCAATATTGATGCTTCAGTACCAAATTAATTTTCAAATATACTTATTATTTTACAACCCTTGTTGAACTATTGTTTCTATATATAATAATTATTTAAATAAATTACTCTAGCATTATTTCCATATATGAACTGGAACATCAGATTTGAAAATTGTGCATTATATATCGGGCTGAGTTCAAACGGAAGACATCTTAAAATATAAAAAGAGAATTAGAATGAACTTGAACGTTAGATTTGAAAATTGTGAAATAGAAATATGCGCTATCATAAAAAAAATGTAGTGACATTTTTGTAAATAGATTCAACCTTTCATGTTTGTTTAAGGTATGAATTATTTTAACTATAAGTGTGCTCCTCCATTAAAAATAATGTGCATCGTTTCATATCGTTCTCATCGTTTGAAACTATTAGGCATTTAGACGATCCAAGCTATGAAAAGCATAATCTACCACAGGGTGGGTAAGATTGGGAGTGCTAACCCATTTAACAACATGAAACATAAATTGGGAAGGAATTATAAATAAATATGAGACAAAAAGTGAATCTACCTTTAGACATTGATTTGGTAGGCCTTGTGAATTAATACATAGATAAGTAATATCGCATTTGTCCCATACACATGTGCATCTATTAAAAAAGAGTTTATCTAGCTAATGTTGAAATGAAAAGGTAGGGACAACAATGTAAGAATGATTTAGAACTACACATGTATTATAATATTTGGAACCACACAAATTTAGTGAACTAAAAAGAAAGGAAATATCGGAGAAAATTAATGAGACAGAGGATGTAATAATTATCATATTTTGAAAGGAAATAAGAAACAATTTATAAAAACTCCGAATACGGCAAAATCATCAAGAGTTTATGAGAAAAAAGTAGAGAGTAATATTTTTATTTTAAGAGCGGCTAAAAATTGTTAAGTATTTTTTATTTTTGAGTATTTGGATTTTGTAATACCTGTGAGTGCAAAATCTTACCTAATTTTATATAAAACATTATCATAAATATATCAATATATATATATAATATTGAACACAACTATTCAGGTCCGGCCAGGCCGGACCACTCTTCCCGTCCGGCCTCCTCCATTTGGGGGTCTTCCCGGTGGTATTTTTTGCTCAAATTTTTTGTGTAGGTTCCTCATCAAGTCTAGTTCATCCATACCAAATTTCAGCCAAAAATTCAATCGGGAAGGTCGTCAAATGATTTTTGCAAGTTAACTGGTCCGGAATATGTGTATTCCGGACCAGTTAACTTGCAAAAATCATTTGACCTTCCCGATTGAATTTTTGGCTGAAATTTGGTATGGATGAACTAGACTTGATGAGGAACCTACACAAAAAATTTGAGCAAAAAATACCACCGGGAAGGCCCCCAAATGGAGGAGGCCGGACGGGGCTCCGGTCAGGTATACCTGACCGAAAGAGTACTCTAATATTGGAATACATAAGAGGAGAGTTATGGAAGTTGAATAGTTTTTTCTTTAATTTATTGTGTTGCCACATGTCATTTTTTGAAGTTGTATATATATATATATATATATATATATATATATATAATGAGGGCTCTTCTCATCAGGCCGGCCTGACGGGCTGCCCCGTCCGGCCGAGCCCGTTTGGGCACCTTCCCGGTGGAATTTTTTGATGAAATTTTTTGAGCATGTTCCTCATCAAGTCTAGTTTGTCCATACCAAATTTCAGCTCAAAATTCGATCGGGAAGGTCGTCAAATGATTTTTGCAAGTTAACTGGTCTGGAAAATACATATTCCGGACCAGTTAACTTGCAAAAATCATTTGACGACCTTCCCGATCGAATTTTGAGCTGAAATTTGGTATGGACAAACTAGACTTGATGAGGAACATGCTAAAAAAATTTCATCAAAAAATTCCACCGGGAAGGTGCCCAAACGGGCTCGGCCGGACGGGGCAGCCCGTCAGGCCGGCCTGACATGAAGTTTACTCATATTGTATTCCATATGCAACTTCCATAACTCTCCTCTGTGCAGTTATCTCCTATTCATCTTATTCATATAGAAGCCATAATTCTTGAAGATAACTGTGCAGTTAAATGCGCAGTTATCTTCAAGAATTCATTTGAATGTCTTCCCAATTTAATCTATATATATACATATATATATATATATATATAATATTGGAATACATAAGAGGAGAGTTATGGAAGTTGAATAGCTTTTTCTTCAAGATAACTGCGCATTTAACTGCGCTATATATGAATAAGATGCTCAAAAAAATCCATCAAAAAATTTCACCGGGAACTGCCTCAAATGGTAACGGCCAAACAGTAAGGACTTATTTGACCCTTTTTATGCAACTTCGAGTACCAATCTAACCCTTACCTCTAAATGAAACACACACTTACAAGTAGGATCTAGAAATAAGGAAACTAGAAAATAATATTTCTCTCTTCCTCAAAATCACATTTGTGAAAAGATAATACTTGAAGAAATTCAAAAACTACAAATGACATGTAGGAGGAATACACTTTATATGGTCAAGACAATGATTCACTGGGAGAAACGAGTGTAACACAAGTATTATACATTGGTTATAAGGAAACCAATGTAGATTCATGTAGGGGCCCCATATGAATTCAAATTACCTACTTGAGTACTTGCATGAGTTGAGTTCCAGATTTAATAATGTGGCATATTAAAGTGTGCTCACCTGAACCTCTTGGAAAGACTGCTTCTATGGGACAACAAGGGATTCAAAAGGAGTGGGGGACTTATAAGTTATAATTGACAACAGTGAATCACTTGAGAGACCAGAATATCACTTGAATGTCTCCATATCAACCATATCTGCTTAAACCAAGAATCCTTTGGAGGTCATTGGGATTAACGGCTGATCTAAATGGCGTCATTCATGGTTTTTCCAGGTTCCCGTGACATAAATACCAGTCCGCATTGGAATGGGAAGACTGATAGAGAAATATGCAAAAAGGCCCGAGTGTTTCCTCCAAGCCCTGGAAAGGAGAGAAATAGGAAACATGTAGTCCTTCCAGCTTTTAAGATATGAAGTTCTCAGTCACACTTTGAATGTTACTTATCTTTAGGCCCTTGCCATAAGCAGCAATAAGTAAAGCCTCAGCTCGGCCTGGAAGGTTTAGAACTGGAATTAGTATATGCACACATAGAAGAAACGTATAAAAATTTATCACCTAGCCAAATTTGTTTGGATGTTGATGGTATGAATCATGAATGGGCATGGACCAGTGGTCCAGGACCGTCCCATCTTCTCAGGCTGATAGACAGCATTCGAATAGCATCTGTTAGACAAAAGTATTGGGTAGCCAATAGCCCGATCCTTGGGGCCGACCCTGCTGTGCTAACAGAGGATTAACAACATCAATAAATAAGAATGCTATTTTACTCTAAATGAGAGGAATGACCGAATGAGTTATGTGAATGTTGTTCGTTTTCATGGGGATACTACATGGATAAAAAGAGTTGGAAACAAGGGGAAGGTTCTTTACTCTCTTCTGCAAAGTATGAGAGAACGTAGCATGCAAAGCCAAATGAAAAGGAGATCTGAGGAGGGAATATGCATTCTAAAGAAAGTCATTTTGTTCCCGCTCTGTGCAAACCACACACAACGGAAAAACTTAAGAAGAATTATACGAATAATAAATTTCCACCTGCCAATCAGTCACTCAGTCTTACTTCAAAGTTTAACTTACTTGATCAAAGATGAGATATAACTAAAGCTAAGCTCCGAGTATTTAACTAATGTTCATTCTGTGATATTGTTATAAATGTCACCTGGCCTTGGAACACATATTGCCTCTTTACTACAATGGACCTCAACTTCCTAGGAAACCAATTTCAACCTAATTCCTTGAACTTGTAGACTATGCAGTTTGGTTGCAGGGAAAACTTTTTCCCAAGGAATTTCATTTCCTTAACTTCCAGGAAGAATGTTCTTCCCCTTACCCACAGCTGCCCCACAGGATTACTTTCCATGCCCATTAGAAGAGGATATTGTATATTTTGACTGTTGGCAATGAAATACGTAATTCATCTTACAATATGAGAGGAAAGTACAAAATGAAGGAAAAGGTCAGTGGACGAACCGTGATCTTTCTTCCTTTTTAACTGGGAACTCATACACGGAAATAATCTGGATGCCATATCCCTACTATCATCCTGACAATACAATTTACGTATTACAAGAGTATAGAAGTTGCAAGCCGAATTTGGAGAATGAATTCCTCCCCATACCCCAATCAACCAAGTACTGAAATTGGAAAAGGAAAAGAGAAAGTGGGAGTCCATTGGAAGAGGATGCACAATTTGTTGTTGTATTAATATTAATATTTCGGGCGTAGTTATTTTATCCCTTGTATTGGGGATTTCAGATACAAGGGAAGGGAAGCGGTGAACTAATTTCCTTAAATTATTCTTAAATTGATTGAGATGGTTGGAAAGAAATTGAAGATGAAAAGTTAAATAGAAATAAATGATTTGACTAAATATACACTCCCTTTGTCCCAATTTTTTTGCAATGTTTTTCTTTTAGGGTTCCAGTTTGTCCCCTGTTTTGCTTTTAAAGAAACAAAAGTGTGATCAATAAATGACCATAGTTGTCATGGCGTCGCCATGGCGTCGCCTTATCGTCGCCACATCGTCCTGGCGCTAGGAGAGGCTCGTCATATGTTGTCGACTCGCCATAAACCTTGTGGCGTCGAAGCAGCGTCCAAAGAACGCTTTAGACGCCTAGGCGACGATTTATTTGAACAGGCCCAAACCCAAACCCAATTTTTTAAACCCATCAAATAAAATAAACCAGACTGATCCATCTGCGCTCGACGAGTTTCCAAACGCAGAGTCCCATCTGCGCTCAATCCATCTCCCGCAGTCCGCACGCTCCTCTTCCCTTCCGTCTTCAATCGGCCGCACGCCCAGTCTGGTCCGCAGTTTTACGTGCTTCAATTTTTTTCAAAACTTGGACTTTTAACTTTAGTGTGTGGGTACGTGGGTTTAAAATCATCCAACTTTTTATATTAACTTTGTACTTCGTATTTAATATTTCTCAAAAAAATTGTGTTTAATATTTTGTTGAGTGCTTTGAATTTAATGTTGTCTTTACTGTGATGAACTGTTAATGTTTTACAGAAAGTCAAATAGTTTTTGAAAAGTTAGTATTGTACTATTGTTACTATTTTAAGAAAAGTTTTAATTTTATGAAAAAAAAATGTCAGTTTTTCCCCAAATAATGAATAAATTTCAGTAGTTTTTTTTTATATTTTATATTTCAAAAAAAAAATCGGTGTCTTCAATTTATGCTGAAATGTACGTTGTGTAATTGTGTTGTCTTACATTAAATAATATTTTTTAAGTTTTTAGTGAAATTTTGATTGTTTAGTTATACATTTAAGTATTTTTATGATGGATTATGTTATTTCTATTTTCTACTTTTTTTACTATGGATAATTTTTGTGATTGTTTTGATTATGGTCTTATGGGTTATGTTATTTCTATGATTACATGTTTTATTACTTCATTTACTTCATTAGTAGTGTTGGCTATAAGTGTTACATATAGGCTTATTAGTATGTAAAACATATTATGAATTCATTAGTTTATATGTCGACTTATCGCCGCGACTCAGCCACGACAGGCGCCATATCGCCATGGCGGTGTGGCAGTCCAAAGGCGCCGCGCCGCAAAACACCGCCGTAAGTCCGTAACAACTATGTAAAGGACAACACACAATTTCATTTTCTTAATAGGTTTGCCATGTCAAAGAGCGGGGGAATTATGGGACGGAAATAGTAGTTGATTTCTTGGCTAAGACGTAATATTAAAGAATATAAGATAATAAATAAAAACCAAAATTTTATGCCCGTGGTTGGGAGACAAAAAGAAGATTGAAAAGCTATATATTTTTAGTCCCAGTAGGTTCCAACCACGATGGTTGAGGTAGAAGCTGTCTACCAGTTCCACCAAATACTTAAAATAGAATTATTACTCCAAAAGATTGATGATCTTATTATTGAATAAAACACCTCTACTTATGCTAGTTTCAAGAGTCTTGGTGGCCCAGTAGTAGAGTAGCTATAAACCTATTATAATACTTCTATTAGGAATACTAACTATCATGGAATACAAATACTAATAGGAAACTATTGGTAAGAGTGTAAGACTACTACTAATTATTATTATCATCATCATAATGATAATAATTGGACACTGATATCAATAATAATGATAATCACGCCTTCCACTAAGCTTGTCCTCAAGCTTGAAGGTTGAAGCTAATAACCAATGACGCCTTCCACCATCAAACAACATTATTATATAATCAGTAATCACAGTGTAGGTTGTAGCCGCACAACCATGAGTAATGTCCCAATATGTAGCCTGATCCATTAAAACCTTTCCTTGCATAAGGTCGATATTATTTCTGGCAACTTGGTGTGTGCAACGAATGTGCAGGAACCATCAGCTGGGGTGTCAACTCACTGGTGACAGCAAGGGTGTTGTTGATAATGGTGGATTGGCATGTTGCAACAAGGCTTGCTATGCTGGCACCGCAATGTTGAAGGTCATGTGGACAACAATGATTTTATACCCAACAGCGGTGGTGGAAACAGTGGAGAGGCTGACAGATCTGACGACCAAGGAGAAAAGTTCCAGTTGCGCAACAATTGTATCCAACACGGAATCGAAGTATACCAATTCTTGTCGTTCAACCCCGTCAAAGTTCAAAACATCAATATGTTGAACCGACTTGTACGCAAGAGCACATTATAAATATAAATCATACTCATCTATGAAACAACATAAATTAGACAAAATTAACGCCCAGTTCAAGAGCTCATTATTTTCTGATTTTTTCCCTGTTTGTTCCGTGGTCTTTTTCTCCTTCCTTTTCCGGATTTTATTTTCAGTTTGTTTTACAAAGTTGCTCAGAGCGTGTGCTTGCCTTAAGTAAAATAAATACTCACGTGTAACGATCCCACACCGGTCAAGTATGAGCTTGACCGGTAGCTTATAAACAAGGTATTCCCTCCTAATTGGCTGGTCTTTTTGGGAGTGAGTATGGGCTAGGTCCGTAACAATTGGTATCAGAACCGTCCCTATCTTCCTGGTCCCGACACTCGAAGGATGGCCCATGGAGTAATGACTTGGGCAATGGGGGTGCCAACCGTGACCAATATAGCAGTGACAAATGAGGAAGTTGGCTCTTTGAAGTGTGGGGTATTGTAACAATCCCACACTAGTCAAGTATGAGTTTGACCGGTGGCTTATAAGCAAGGTGTTTCCTCCTAATTGGCTGGTCTTTTGGGAGTGAGTTCTACATCTGGGCTTATGGCTTTGATATGGGCCTAGTATGGGCTAGGTCCGTAACATCACGCTAATTAAAAGAAAACCTTGGAGGACTTAAGAAAACAAAAAACTATGGATCAAAATACAGATTTGCAAACTCTGCACAGATTGGCAGGTTTACCTCTTAGAGGATGATAATGCTAATTTTTGCATATAAGCTGTTGTTTTATGAATTCAAACCACATGTCATTTCTCTCCCTTTATATTTATTTGGGAGGGGTTGGGAAGAGAAAAGAGAAAAAATGACAAGTGCAAAGTAGATCTCAAGTTTGTGGAAAAAACAAGAAGAATACTTATAATTGAAAAAACAATTGAGCTTCCCATCCTAAGCAAGAAGAATGATTACACTCCAAAAGATTAATGATCTTTTTATTACTCTAAAAAAGCACATTTATACTCCCAAAATGATTTTCCACTTTCCATTTTAAGTATTGAAGCATGATTAAAGTGACAAGTTTGCCCTTAACTCTTTACCCTTCTAATCTGCTACCCCACCCATCTAATTTATGGATGAGTTAATTCCCACCCATCTATTATCACTATGCCCATCTATTACTCTCACCCACTTTATCTCTCCATGATGGGGTTATGGGACTAGGCCCAATACCTAATCAGACCCGGCTCCAAACTTGGACCAGCAGGCCCAAACCCAAGACCCTTGTCTCGCCAGGCAAGCCCAACCAGTGGACCTAGCAATCCAGATCTCAAGTTGGCCCAACCGATCAAGCCCATCAAGGAGCGAAGGTGCAGCGGAGCGGAAGCCCAAGACGGTCTGCCTACCGGTCCAACCAAAAGTCTGCCTCCAGCCCAGCGGGGAGCCTACCTTCCAGCCCAGCGGGGAGCCTGCCTTCCAGCCCAGCGGGGAGCCTGCCTTCCAGCCCAACGGAAGTCTTCCGCCCACGGAGCTCGAGCGTCAGGCCTGCCAGCCAGGCCGACCCGCCAGGAAGAGTAACGGCCAGCAATTAATGCGCTATTAATTATGTGTTTAATTTCGTATTAATGTGGTAATTAATAAATCATTATTGTAGTAGGCAGTTACCATTTGTATACGCCTATAAAAGGCAAGTTGTAATTCAAATACAAACATGCTATTCTTGGCAATTAAACTTCCATGAGCACTTTCCATATTCGTACTTTTTATTTTCCTGCTCGAGTGTCCTTTCGTAGCTTTCCTAAAAGCCTACGAGCGTCCTATTATGGACCAACACTCCATATTCCTATTCGAAGCATCTCTGCAAATGAAGTCTTTCAAGTTCTCCATGGCTAGATTTTTTTAGCTAACGGGGGCTCCGACTTGGTCTATCAGCTCTGGCGTAGAGGAAGAATCAGCTCCAAACCTCTCTTGCTTGGTCCATCAGCTCCTTCTCCGCGAATCCGAGATCCGACACGCCTAGTTGACCGAGTCCATCGTAGATGAGTCCCCGCCGCCCTCGGGCAACTCTTACAAAAATGGAGGATGAGGGTGGACAATGGTCATTGAAGCGGGTGGGACCAGATGAGTCGCTGCCGCCATCCCGCCCTCGGACAACTCTTACATAAATGGAGGACGAGTGGATGACGGTCATGGAAGCGGGTGGGACCAGATGAGTTGCTACCGCCGCGCAGCCCTCGCACAACCTCGCAGATGAGTAGCTGCCGCCCTCGTTGAACCAGATCTTGCATCGTGGGTCGAAGCCCCTGTTCACTGTTGGCCTGTCAAGTGCCAAGTTGTGAGAACACTATTCTTTGCCAGAGTACCCCAAATGCCGGTGGTCCTATTTTTGAAACCAAACATTTGGCAATGGATGTATTTCCTTCGTGTCTCCTTTCGTATTGTAATGGTAAAACTGAATATTGTAAAAATTGGGCAGGGTGAAGAAGTATTATCTTCCATTTTGAAAAACTTTCTGGCTTTGTATATAATGAACAGTATGGTAAAGTGAATTTCTGTATTGGCGGTATTGCTTACTCTTTATAAAAGAAAGGGCAGAATGGTAAAGTGAATTTTGATATCTATGTTTCCTTAATTCTTGTGGTGGTCAAAGTTTGCAATTCAATTTGGGACGGAGGGAGTATATACTAATTCCAAGAATCTTGGTGGGCCAAAAGTAGGATAACCGTAAACCTATTACAACGCTACGATTAAGAATACTTGGTAAAATAAAATGATGATGATGATGTTGACTTTGATGATGAGGACGACAACGATGACAATAAGACACTAATATCAATAATGATAGTAATAGCGATAATAATTGTATTGATATAAGACTTCTTTCACCTATATCAAAATCCTCCTATCCCTCCAAGTTCCCCAACCAAATAATCCCATGGAATATAACAAAATAAACAATGTTAGAAAGATCAATCACACCTTAGTTGTGTCACCTCCGGCTAGTTTAAAAGTTCGTTTCCACAAAGCTGATGGTACAGGAACAACAGAAAATCCCAAAGCTACTAAGATTCCAATCCATAATCCATACCCAAATCCTCCACCCCACCAACCCTTCATATGAAGAAAAAGAATATTGAAACAAACTGTGGCATGAAGGAAGAAAGCGTACAGGAGGATTAAAAGTTACATCAGATCTAACCATAATAAAATTGGAAGTTATTGATTGTTCTCAAAAGTTATGCAAGAAAGAGTGGTGTTCAAATTATCATTATTTCACATGAAGAATTCCTGATGGTGCAGGTTGATTATTGGGGCTTGCATTAATGCCCATCGCTGATGAGAATGCTAACCTGTTTACCATCTTGTGGGAATGGAGTTGATTGCTCAATATATGCAGTAGTTCCTGAGAGAAAATGATAAAGCAAAATCAAGCTAAGATCATAATTTCTCAAAAGATCCTTATCTGAGCTTTTCAGTCAACTGAAGCAGATTATAATGTTAAGAGCAAGTTAGTTTTAAATGCCAAATTATAACAAAGAAAACAAACAGAGAACTATACAGCTATACTTAGAGATTATGTAAATTACCTATAGGAACTTCAAAACTTTGAAGCAAGTGAACAATGGACCTCGCATCTAAACGCCTTCGTACTCCTTTCCCAACCGTTACTTTCAAGTGAGGAGAATCAAATACCTGTTAAAAAATAAAAGAGATGCTCTAATGATGTAAGTTTCTTATTAACATAAATACTTCTAGAAAACGCAAATAGAGAATGCTCTCTAAATGGTTTTCAACAAACCCAGAGTTTTGTTAAGCATATATTATCTTATGAGGAAAGTGTCAATTTAGTACTTGAATTTGTCTCTGACACAGTAAAGAGTACATCACCTTATATGAGAGCTCAAAAAATACTCCAACATCTCTGACTGAGTAAAGAGTACATCAACATCAGAATTCAGAAAGTATTCCAACTTGTTTTTGTGTGTCATACCGTCATTATAGTACTTTCGCTAACTAGAGATTTGACACGTTGAATTTAAGCTAAACGGAAACAACGACAGAACACTATGTACAAACCATGTGAGCTATGTTATACGTTAAGTCTACACGGGGAGCGAAATTCATGTACTAAAATAATATTTTACACTAGAATAAATATTAAATTTATATTGGTTACCCATATATCAAAACCTAATGTTTACAATAAAAGCATACTAGCCTATTTAACTACTAGTTTTATCTAGAGTTTCGCAATTCTAAATCTTACAGCATTTCAAACATGTAAAACTCTTATTATAAACATTATTCAAAAAATTCTTATAAATTCGAAATAAATCATTTACTATAAGTTAACAATTATAGTAGCTTATTTAACAATTATTTTTATCAAACATCGCATCATTTTTGTTTCCATCATTTGGAATGGAGTCAAAGACTCGCTATTTTATGGCTTGAGAATATGATGGAATAAATCAAAATGACTGATTAAACTGTCTGCGCTTCTTTGTTATGAAGCGGCAGCCAGTCCATGCAATTTTGGACATGATTTTCACTATGGGTAATCCGGAAACAGTCTCTGTGCATAAGGGTAAGACTATGTACATTCAACCTTCCTTACCCCACCGTAGGTGGGAGCATTGCGGCACTGGGGTGATGATGATACTGATACTGGGGTGATGATGATGATGATCGCATCATTTTTAACTTTTATCATTTTTCAGCTAGTTTAAACTAAAAATTAACAAATCATTAAATCATTTCCCCTAAATTCTCTCTATATTTGACGGTTATACCATAACACAGTTGAAGTACTTTCAAACTCCTTTACTCCATTGGAGATAGGTTGGAGTACTTCATGAGCTCCGATTGAGACAAATTCAAGTACCAAATTGACATTTTCCTCATTATCTTATTATGTACAGTTGTACACAAATGTATGAAGTTGAATATTGCTTTACTCTCTTTTCCTTTAGAAAGTAAAAGGCTTGAACCATAATATTTTTAAAAAGCAAGTAGAAAGTGAAGTTCATACTTGAACTTTCCTTAACGAAGCAGGTATCTCAAACGTAAGAGAAGTTCAAAGTGCCTCAATTAATTCGAAATTGTGTCTTACAACTTGTAAGCTAGGGATTATCATATACTTAGGTGATGTTTACTTTTTTCATTAATTCCTGGATTAAAAGGTATGTTTGTCTAGATTAAGCATGGTTTAAAAAAGCGTTTATGAGACTCGCCATGTTGATTGTGTTGGCATGAGGCAGTGAAAAAAAACCTTGAAGTTAAGGTTATGACCGCTATGTTTGTATGGCCATTTCACCTCAAAATGAGCTTAAATTTTAATAATCTAGACAATTAATTCACGTGTAGTATTGTTTGGATGAAGAGCTGAACTTGGTCTAATCTAAAATTAATCAGCTGATCTGAAACATCATTAATTGTAGCGTTTCAATTCAACCCTTTAATTTACTCCAAACTTATGTTAACTTTATCTTCCCATTATTCAAATCTTATCTTGTTTCTACTTCATTCAGCTAGGACTTCAATTTTAGCAGCTTTTATCCAGCTTCAAACTATAATCTCTAAATTAGATAACAGACTTCAGCTATAGTTCATTCTTCCAAACATAGCCTAAGCCACATGAAAATGAACATAGGCTTAAGCCTCATATGGCTGCGGCATTTGTGAGGCTTAAGCCTCATGTTTTTACTTAATTTTATATTTTGTATTAGGCTAATATTTTTCCTAAAATTCTCGCTGAAGCTATTATTTTCCAATAGAGTTTTTGCCACTTTTAGTCCTCCGACTATTATGTCACTCATACTTTTGGTACTCAACTTTGACTTTTTCACTTTCAGTCCTTTAACTATTGTGTGAAAGACACTTTTGGTACCCGTCTTGAAAATTTCTATATATAAACCTTCGACTTTCATAAAAGTGACACGTTTAGTCTTTCAACTATTATAATAGTGACATTTTTAGGGATTGTTTGCAAGAGCTTAATAAAGCACTTTTATTGCTTTTAGCTTCAAAAAGCTGAAAATGGTGTTTGCGTTGACAAGCTTTTGCTTGAATTCAAGTGCTTTTAAGCCAAAAGTTAAAAGCACCCTCTAGGATGTGTTTATGTGTTTCTGGGTTCTGTGGTAAATAATTCACTTTTAGGATAGTTATTAGCTAAACGCCTAAACATATTCCATAAACCCCAAAACACCCATCCGAATTGATTATTCGTCCATTTGGAAATCCCTGATGAGCTTGACTTGCAGCCATGACCATCTGCCTCGCCGGCAACGCCGCCATCCGCCGCCATCCTCCTCCTCGTCGACGTGACCATCCACCACCATCCTCAGCGTGGCCACCAGCAAGGGCCCTCATCTTATCCTGCAGCAGTCATGCGGTGGCTCACCTCTCTTTCCGTCTTCTGAGTTTCGATCCCTGAGTGAGTGAGTGTGTGTCTAAAATATTAAAAGTGTGAAAGACATTAGAATATACTTGAGAATATGCTTCTATCTTTAGAATATGCTTTAGAATATTTTAGGAATATACTCTAGGATATGATTATTGTATAGAATCTTATAGGAATATTCTATCTTTGTAATGTATATATAGGAACTTAACCCTCCAATAAAATACACATAATGTGGCTGAGAATAAACTTTGTGGCTCCAATTATCTTAAATTGAGTAAAACTATCAAATGTTATTTAAGGAGCATTGATAAACATACCCACTTAGTTGATGACCCGCCAAGGATGAGGTTGATAGAGCTGATAGTGATGCATGGCTTCGTGATGATTCTAGATTATTTATCCAGATTCAGAACTCCATGGAAAACGACGTCATGAGGTATGTTGGTCATTGTGACACTGTGAAAGTACTGATTGATTATTTGGAATTTATGTATTCTGGCAAAGGTAATCTTAACCACATCTATGAAGTGTGCAAAGCAATTTACAGGGTAGAAATGAAACATAAGCCTCTCACGGCTTATTTTATGGATTTCAAGAAAACATATGAAGAGCTTAATACCTTAATGTCATTTAGTCCTGATATCAAAGTGCAGCAGAAACAACGAGAACAAATGGCAGTCATGAGCTTTTTGGCTGGTCTTACGTCTGATTTTGAAACAGCCAAATCACATATCTTGTATAGTGATGTGGTCTCTTCTCTTCAAGATGCTTTCAGTAGAGTGCTTCGCACGGACACTTCATCCACATCAACAGCACCTCATCCAAGCAATGGTTTTGTAGGGCAAGTCCCAACATTCTTCAAAGGAGGTGAGAAATGGTCACGCATTGCACCGTTTAGCAAAGGAGTAGTATGCAACTACTGTAAGAAGCTCGGACACTTGATAAAAGATTGTCGAAAATTGAAGTTCAAAAATCAGGGAATCAGGTTGCTCACATTGCTTCCGCTACACAGTTGTCGTTAATTCAGGTAATCCAAACACATGTTTTGTGTCTTCATCCTCAAAAAAGGTTATCAATCCAGGGGCAACAAATTATATGACAGGTAATCCTAGTCTTTTTTCCTCATTCCACACACCTCTTCATGTTTCTAATGTTACTTTAGCTGACGGATCTACGTCACCGGTTCTTGGAACGGGTACAATTGTCCCAACATCTACTTTACCTTTGTCACCCGTCCTAAGTCTTCCAAACTTTGCTTTTAATTTGATTTTGATCAGCAAAATCACATGTAAACTTAATTATTCTGTAACCTTTTCCCATGGATATTTTGTATTTCAAGATCTGTTGATGAATCCGGTTATTGGTAAAGGATATGAGTCGGCTGGTCTCTATCTCTTGGATACATCGTTACCCAAATCCATCTCTTGTCTTGGGATTGGAACTGTTTTAGAGGCTCACTATCGACTAGGACACCCCTCTCTCCCGTTGTTAAAGAAATTTCATCCTCAATTTAATAAGGTGTCATCTTTACAGTGTGATTCGTGTCAATTTGCAAAACATCATCGAACTAGTTTAAGTCCCCGAATTAATGAACGAGCACATGCTCCTTTTGAACTTGTTCATTCTGATGTTTGGGGCGTTTGCCCTGTTGTGCCCAAAACTGGTTTTAAATATTTTGTTACCTTTGTTGATGATTATTCTCGTATGACATGGATATATTTCATGAAGCATCGTTCCGAGTTATTTTCTCATTTTTGTGCCTTTTGTGCTGAAATCAAAACTCAATTTGATGTACATGTTCGTATCTTAAGAGACAATGCTCAAGAGTATTTGTCTACCTCGTTTAAGTTGTATATGGCTCAACATGGCATAATTTATCAAACTTCATGTGTAGACACACCTCCCCAAAATGGAGCTGCTGAATGAGAGAACATATATGTATTAGAAATTGCGTGGGCTCTTCTATTCAAAATGAATGTGCCTAAACATTTCTGGGGCAGATGTTGTGCCTACCGCATGTTTTTGATCAATCGAATGTCATCTACTATTTTGGATGGTAAAACTTCATATCAGTGCTTATTTCCAAATAATGAAATTTTTCCTATCCCTCCTAAAATATTTGGTTGTACTTGTTTTGTATGAGATGTTAATCCCCATTTAACAAAGTTGGATCCGAAGTCATTAAAGTGCATTTTCTTAGGCTACTCTCGAGTTCAAAGGGGCACAAATGTTTTTATCCAAGTACGGGTCGGTATCTTATTTCAATTGATGTCTCCTTTTATGAAAATACACTTTTTTCATCAACAAAGACACATATTTGTAGGGAGAATGATGACTATACCCGAGTCCAATGCTTACAATTGTTCCACATGTTACTATCCTCAGCCTAGGCCTCCAATACACTTGGTGTACACTCGACCACACAAAGTACAAGATCACCCTCCACTTGTGGTTAGATACTGATCTGTTGTCGATCTCATGTCCTGAACCGATGCTTGCATCTTCAGATCATATCTCTACATCAGATCTTGACCTCCCTATATCACTACATAAAGGTACACGATCTTGTACTCATCTCATTTCTTCATTTGTGTCGTATAATCAGTTATCATCTGCCTCATGTTATTTCATTGCTTCCATTGATTCTATTTCTGTTCCCAAATCTCTTAAAGACGCTTTGTCTCATCCTGAATGGCATCATGTCATGGTAGAGAAAATGAATGTTTTGGATCTTAATGGTACTTGGGATTTGGTAGACTTGCCTACAGGGAAGAAGTATGTTGGTTGTAAGTGGATCTTTGTTGTGAAGGTTAACCCTGATGGATCTATTGCTCGGTTAAAAGCCCGATTAAATGTGAAGGGTTATGCTCAAACCTATGGTGTTGATTATTCCGACACATTTTCTCCTGTTGCTAAATTAACATATGTCAGGTTACTTATTTCCCTTGCTGTAACTAGTGGTTGGCACTTACACTAGTTGGACATTAAAAATGCATTATTGCACGGTTCACGAGGAAGTTTTTATCGAGCAACCTCCGAGATTTGTTGCTCAAGGGGAGTATGGGAAAGTTTGTCGACTTCGCAAGTCTTTTTATGGTTTGAAGCAAAGTCTCTGTGCATGGTTCGGGAAATTCAGTCAATCAATTGAACGGTTTGGAATGATAAAAGGTCAATCGGTTCACTCTGTATTTTACACACGAATGAAAGCAGGTATCACATTGCTTGTGGTGTAATCCCATCAAAACTTTTAAAAATTTTAAAAATTGCCAAAATAGTCAATTATAGGGCTCTACTTATAAATTTCACATAACCTACAAAGCTACAACTACTCCACTCTTGCGGAATCTTGCAAAGGTACTGAGCTATCACTATTCATGTCATCTCTTATCAAGAATCTGGATGAGTATCCAGAACTTATGCATCAAAGTATATCAATCAAAGTAGGAGATATTTTAATCCATGCCATGGGTACAACTACAGCTAACCGGTGAAGTTTTCAAAGAAAAAAAGGCCATTATGAATTAGGAATTCACGAAAACCATTAGAAATTATGAATGCATTGGGGGGGATATAGGATTACTTGAGGAGAATGATCTGGTTTCAGTATGGCCAGAGCTCCAGAAACATCCGGGTCGACTCCAATTACCCAGTCAATGGAAGGCTTCCCGTGAGGAAATGGGCAAGAGAGGGCGTCCAGCCAGTTCTCCCTCAGCTCATCTCTCAGAAGTTTCTTGCCACCCCTGGCCCTAGCACGTCCTCCACCTGTCCCAAAATCTTTAGGGTCAACAGTCACGGATGGCAGGTCAAGCGTAGGAGATGCAACAATAATTCCGCCAGCAGAGGCTGAGTAGACCCTGAATGCAAGAGCGGAGGAGGCAGCGAAGCGGAGTGGAGGCGGGATGAGGGTAAAGAAGCAAGTCGGTGGAATGAATGTGGGCTTCACTGCGGCTAGCTTCGTTAGATAGAAGGATTCCATCAAAAGCAAAATAAGCCAGTTTGAGAAGAGAGCTCCCAGCTTTTCACATGGCTATTCTACAGTCTACTTCTAAGCAAGTTTGAGAAGAGAGCTCCCAGCTTTTCACATGGCTCTTCTACAGTCTACTTCTAAAAACAAGCTGTTTTAGTTGTACCCATGGCATGGATTAAAATAATCTCAATGAATAATCCCAACTAGTCAAGCCATGTGAATAATCTCAACTAGGCTTGTTTAACATTCAGCGATTAGCGGAATAAATTGATGGGTTGTCAATGGCGGATTCGGTGAGCAGATTTGACTAGCGGAATAAATTGACGAGTTGTCAAAAGATGCTTGGTAATTAAGTTGTTTGGTCATAAAATTAGTAGAAAACGCCAATTTTCAAAACGTCAAACCCAAAACTCTCTTATTAGCATCGTTTTCATTTTGGCGTTTTCGTCTAAAAAAACGTTAGTGCCGAACAGCTATTTACCAAACATGTTTTTCACTTATTGAAAATGCTAAAAGTGGTCAAATCGTCATTTTCGACTGAAAAGCCGTTTACCAAACACCCCCTACAAGTAAATGAACATAGAAAAAATGGGTGTGGAATTGTTTCCAATGCACCCTTACACAAGTCACATCTATCAACCATATATAGAGGTAACCAAGGCTATCTTGAGTAGGTAGTCGGTTCCTCAAGGCCAACCAAACACTAAAAGAAAGCTTGAGGGGAATATAGGATTTCCAAATGAAACTCATTGGAGTCCTAGAGACCCCTTTAACTCGTAGAAGCTCATAAACCGTGGATGCACAGTTTATGAAGAGGTTGGGCCAAATTAGAGATAAAATCCGTGGATGCTTTAATAATTTGAATGATACCATTTTGGATCTAACTCTAGAAGCACTAATGGCAAACTTGCCTCGGCCAAGGTTTATGAGCTTCTACGAGTTAAAGGGATCTTTAGGACTCCAATGAGTTTCATTTGGAAATCCTATATTCCCCCCAAGCTTTCTTTTAGTGTTTGGTTGGCCTTGAGGAACCGACTACCTACTCAAGATAGCCTTGGTTACGTCTATATATGGTTGATAGATGTGACTTGTGTAAGGGGTGCATTGGAAACAATTCCACACCTATTTTTTCTATGTTCATTTACTTGTAGGGTATGGGACAAGATTCGAGAATGGATGGGACTTGGGCACCAAATGTCTACACTGCTTAGCTCAATCAAAAGTGGATTTTAAGGGAGCATAAAGGATCAACGATGAAAGCAAAGGTGACAAAACTTGCTCTATGTGCCGCGGTGTATTACTTATGGCACGCAAGGAATGAGATCCGCTTTGATGGAAGGGAGAAGACCGAGGAGGAGATCATAGCCAAGATCAAGCATGCCGTCTACAAGATACTCTTTAGTATCTATTCATACGACTTAATCGATTTTTGAATGGGCCAAACAGCTGTTTGGGCGGCCGCGGTTTAGACTATTTTGGGAACTAGGGTGTGTGCAACTTGCAACACCTTTGATCTTTTTGTTAGATTTTTGTAGAGACTTTATGATGTGAGTGCGTGCATATGCAGCGCACCGATGTATGATTTTGAATTTTGACATAGAATAGATCGAATAAAAACCTCCTTTAACCCCTACATTATGTGGGGGTGGGGGTTTAGGAGATCTAGGACATGTGATGTATAGTTTTCTTGGGTGTTAATATATATTTACATTTCATCCAAAAAAAAGAATAATCTCAACTATTAGAGGTCATTTGGCAACACTGTTTTTCGGCTTATCAGCCAACTTTTTCAACAAACACGTAAATTTTGCTTTCGCGCGCTGAGTCGTGTAATAAGCAGAAAAAGTAAGGTTGGAGTTATTTTTCTGGCTGTATTGGCTGAAGTTACTGTAGATGACCATTTTTACTATTTTACATATAATTTTTTCTTTATTTTATTAATAAAATATATTTTAATTTTTTTTAAATCCGCAGAATCAGCCAATGCAGCCACTTCAGCCAGAACTTAATAAATTTCAGCAGAATCAGTCAAATCAGCCGACTTTCGTGCTTCCAAACGGGCTCTTAGTGATCTGTTTGAAATACTCCAAAGTATCAATTATCTCAAAATAATGTCAACTATTGAAAAATCTTCTCAAAATACTCCGATGACTTATAACTATTCGTAAATAACTTATACTCCTTCCGTGCCACTTTAAGGTTCCCACACTATTTACGATGTTTGACTGACCATAAAGCTAACTGATCCCTGTCATTAATAGAATTATTTTTAGTAAATAAAATTTACATATTCAAAAACTACATTAAAACCGCTACAAAACCTGCAAAAAATAATTTAAATTTCATAAGCTTTCGATACATAAAGTAAAAGATCAAGAACAATGCACGTTGACCGGAGAATAATGTACGTGAACCTTTAAATGGGACGGAAGAAGTAATATTTAGATGTAAGTGGAGTATTTTGAGGAAAAAAAATCAACATTTGGGATTATTTTGAGATAATTGATACTTTGGATTATTTGAAAGAGATTACTAATAATTGGTATTATTCTTGTCCATTATTCTTATATATTATCATCCGTTCTTTAAAAGTTGCAATAGTTTGACTTTCATGTTTGCCAACGCACAACTTTGACTATAATTACATTTAATTACGTATTACTACGTCTTAAACACTAAAAAAAGTTAATATTTTGGAAATATACATTAATAGAAATTTAATAACATTTTATACACAATAATTTGATTATGTATACTATTAGAAAACCGTAGTCGAAGTAGGTGTGTGAATAGTGCAAAAATCATAATGTTGCAACTTTTAAAGAACAAAGTAAGTATTGTGTTGGTCGAACCAGTAACACTAAGTGTGTAACCAGCTAGTTTATATATTGCACTTCTTTTATATTGTTATTACAAATTTAAAACTATAATTTGTAAATCATGGTTTGTTTATAAACATGTAACCATCTATGGCATTTTTCACGAGGGCTAAAAACTATGGTGTGTTTATAAAATTTTCTCCACATTTTTTATTAAATCTAGTACACTGTTTGTTTGTTTTGAGTCATTAGATCTGGAAAGTCTCTTTCACTCTTTGTATTTAAATTCTCCCCTGTTTATAGATAAGTGATCAAATATAACCACCTCCTAATTTATAAACTATGATTTGGTTATAAACTTGTAACCATCTATGGCATTTTTTCGTGAGGCCAAAAAACTATGGTGTGTTTATAAAATTTTCATCGCATTTTTTATTAAATCCAGTAAACTGTTTGTTTATTTTGAGCCATTAGATGATCCTCTTAATTTAGTATGAATGTAGAGATGTAATCATGTAAGAAAAAATACGAAAATGTGTGAAACATCAGAAGAAAAAGGTCTACAATGATGTGTGGCAAGTAGGGTTAGACCGGGCCCGGGTCGGGCTTTGGGCGGGAGTGGGTTTGGGAACTGGAGGCCCGGTATCGGCCCGGTATCGGCCCGAGTAGGGTCTAGGACCGGGCCCAGGCCGGGTCGGGTCTTATAATTTTATTTTTAAATTTTGGTTTTTCTTATTTATTCCTACCCCCCAATTACCCAGCCCCCCCCCCCCCCCCGCCTAGCACCCATTCCATTCGAGGAAAAAAAAACATTTTGGGCCCGGACTGGCCAGGCCGATCCACCTAACACCTTACCCGTAGCCCCCCACCCGGTTCGGGTCCTAGGCCCGGTGCCGGTCCCGGCTGGCGTTTCAGGCCGGTACTGCACAGTGGCGGTCCGGTGTGTGTGTTATATGAGAGAGTGAGAGAGTTTAAATAAAAAAGAGGTATTCCCGTGCAAAGTGCTAATGATTGCACTTTTCCCTCACCGTTTTGCACTATTGCATGTTTTTGTTGCACTTTTTCGCGGTGGCAAAAAAAACGTTTTTTTTACGAAACTGCCACCGCATTTTCCATCAAATTTAGTGCATTTTTTGCTCATTTTGAGCCATTAGATGTGGAAATTAATGCTCAAGATTTATTCTCATTTTGTATAAAAGAAAATTTAGCAAATATAACCTATTATATATATTAATAATATTATATGTGTGTGTGGGAGGGTTCTAATAAAAAAAGAACTATAATGTGTTACATGAGAATTAATCTCAACAGTCCAAAGTTTCAATCCAATGCACAATAATCCTTATCTACTCCACTCTCCATTAAACCTTATTTAACGCACTTTTTGAAAAGTGCATCAGATAAGGTTCAATGGAAAGTGCAATTGAACCCGATATGCATCAGTATGTATATATATATGGGGTGTTTGGATCTGATTCTTGAAACTGTTTCTGCTCTTTCAGGGAGCAGAAGCTGGAGTGTTTGGGTGAAAGTGTAGAAGTGATTCTGGTGCTCTAATTTACTCCTAGAATCATTTTTTTTAGAAGATGGGGTGACCACCCCCATATACACACACATACTAGACTAATGACCCCTGCGTTGGGATGGCATCTAAAACACGGTAATAAATTGCTAAAATTTTACTTTATTGCTATGTTATGTGTTGTGCAGTTATGTTTCATAAAAAATTTGAAAAAAAAACATCATATGTTCTAAAATATTTTATAGAAAGCTAGAGGCTAGAGCTGGTGTAGGATGTGGGGAGCTCACAAATAAAATATATTACCTCCACGAAGAAATGAGATAGTTATTATTAAGAAAAATGAAATTATATTATTACTGGTGAATTCGAAACGTAAAAATAAAGAAAGAAATAGTGGTACATAAGTATTACTAAATGGAGCATATGACAAATTTAGTGAGGGAAACGAAACAGGAAAAGTAGGTAAAGATTCTTGGAAATGTGAGTAATTGATTATATGGTGTTAAAGTGTTTTATTGTTTTCTTAAGAGTAGACCAATGTGGCGATAGAAGAAAGTGAAAGTATATATAATGTCATCTAACTTTTCAGAGTCATGTAACATCATTTGTTTAGAATTTTTGAAGTACTGCTTTTCGTAAAGGCTGGTTTGCAACCACTTTAAAAAAAGCACTTCTCAGCTTTTGGCTTAAAAAAGCACTTATTTACCAAACACTACCAATTTTTATTTTTCTCGGCTTTCGTGTCAAAAGTGCTTTTCCACTTTTTATACACCAAAAGCACTTATTTTACCAAACACTACCAACTTTTACTTTTCAAAATCACTTTTTTCTCAAACACTATCAACTT